GAAGGCCCACTGTATATGATTATTATACCTAAATTGGAATAAAAACACACAAACAATTAACAAAGAGTTTTAACAAACGTTTATCCACATACCAGTCTATTAATTAGCTGAACACAGAATGTAAAGATTAAATTAATATTTAATAATTTTAATTCTACTTTAAAATAAATTGATTGTTTGTCTGTTTTATTCCAATTTAGTTAATTATATAGGAGTTAAATAGTGATGGCGTGATCATCAAAACGCTTGAATATTCACGATGACGCTTCAAAAAGGCAACAGTTCATTCTGTGGCCCGGTCAACAGTTTGACTGTTTCATGATCTCGCAAAAACATAAAATAAATCGTGAAACAGTTCAAAATGCGTAATTACATTTTATATAGTAGGTTAGGTAATAATTTAATATATGAGTCAAAATTGAAAAAAATATTTCCACAAATAGTTTGAAAAATATTTTTTAATTGTTTCCTAAAATAAAATACTGATAGTAAAACATGTGTGGTCAACAGAAATAAAAAGTAATTTATTGCTAGCTTTGCTGTTTTATGAATTCGGGGTACCTGTATTTCTCATGGTTTTGGTGTATAGAACACTTTACCTCTGTACAGAAAGGTGTTAACCTTGGATGAACGTCAGGTTCCACGTACGTGTGAAAAACAGCTTCTGACTCTAGTGTGGATGTGTTCAACTTGATCACTGGGAATTCAATAATTTCCTATCATTTGAAAAAAAAAAAAAACATAAAAATTATAGGAGTCTGTAAAATCTATTATTTTTACATGCAATACGGAGCCTGTAAATGTTTTACGTGTAAAATAATTTTGTTGTTGCTGGGAAGCATGCAGTTAAGGGGAGGGAGCACAATTTAACCAAATTAACAGAAGGTTTTGACAAGTTGGCATTCCAAAAAAGGTATCTCCTCAGATGTACAAGGGACACAACAATAGATATTAGATTTAAGTTGCCGTAAATTGGATTTGGAAGTCCCACCTATTATTCTTTTTAAAAGAATTTCACCTTGGATATATCTTGAATCTTAGATATTTTGAATATTGTATCATTTAATTTCTATGAAATACTTGATTCTGATTGGATAAAAAATTCTTTTGATAACTGCATCAATAAAATCTAGAGTTCGCTTGCACTAAGCAGCCGGAACTACTTTGGCACTCTTTACATGTATATTCCTGCTTCCAGATTACTTTTTGAAGAAATAATTTAATACTTTTACTTTAATAAATAATTTCCTAAATTTCGGAACCTGTACGTTACGTTCCTGACTTATTTTCTACTTTTGTTTCATTTTGAATTATCCCCCTTTGCTAAACAAATCAAATTGTCTGCATGACGACAATACAGTTATGGGAAAGAAGGGAAGAAATCGTTTAATCGGGATATTTTTCTTAAATGTTTGACTTTGACATATCTGTTATGAAACAATAGAACTCTGAAAAAATGTTTTAATTATGCTACCAAAGTGGGGAAAACTGTAAATCTGTTAAATCATGGAAAACGAATGATCGAGAAAAATGACACTGCATGAATGAGGACGAAATTTTTTTAATCTTGAACAGTCGGCAGCAGACTCTTTCAGGTTTTACAGCATTGACAGGTACTTATTCATACATTCGTTTTGAAATTCAGATGGAAAAAGATGCGCAAATAAAATCCAAGATTTCTGTGACCGAGAAATGTTAGGATATTTGAGTAGCTTCCCTTTATATTTATGAACTAAGATAACTTACCTGGAAAATTATACTCAGAAGGATAACAAAACAGGTAAGTTTTTGTGTTAAAGAATTGTAAATTATTTCAGAGAATGTTGGTAATCATACAATAATATTTGAGAACGTTTTTTTCCTTAGCATGGTTAGAGCCAATTTGAATTTTCAGCAACGTTAATGTTATGGTGATGTATTCGTGCGCACTGTTTTTGATGCTTAAAAACATGTTAAATTTAATAGGAAAGTGAAAGAAACTTTCATTTTATTAATTTAAAATCATAATTAAATGATAAGAAATGATAAGTTTTCCGTCCAAATTTTTTCTTTGATACATAGATCAAAGAAAAAAATATTACATTCATTTCTTAAATCCTATGAATCTCAAAGTTTATTCTCAACCCCACTGAGTTCGAGATAATGAAATTTGACTGTAAGCCCTAGAACATTTTTGACTGAATAATGGACAAGCTTGTTGTATATGTACAGGTCTGGTACAATCACTAGATTTAGCTACATAGCTTGATTTACCTACATCATGTACATAGCGTTATTTACCTACCTGAGGTAGCTTTATTTAGCTACCAAATTGATTTATTTCTATTAAAAAGCATTTTTCTCAGGGTGTGCAGAAAATATCATTTTGATGCAGTGATCATTTTCAACTTTGAACTCATCTGAAAACAACTCATGAAAAAATCCCTCTTGGAAAAATGTCTTTTTCTGCCCAATCGCAATCAAAGTTCTGAAAGTTTTGGGGCTATGTATGACAGTTAGAACAGTTACTCCTTGAATGAAATGACAAAGAAGTCCAGTTCCGGTTAACATGGATAACAGGGGTTCAAAATTTTTAATGTATTCAGCACAATGTGAAGTAAATTTTAGGCAAGCCTCACCACGCCCAAAGATAGGACAGTTAACCAAACAATTGAATTTATGTAATTTATAATTTATTTTCATTTGTTGCATTGAATGTATAAAGATATATGTATTAATATATGTTTTATTTTTCCTCCATAAACTGTCATATAGTTTTACGGTATGTCAACACAATACCAAACTGATAGATTACTGGTACATTACAATAACTTTTACACATGTACTTCTGAATAAACCATCTGTTACAATAAACAGAAATTAGAAAGTAAGTCACAGCTATTAAAACAATTTAACAAACTCATTGCCGTTTGTCATATAGGAGGAAACATGCGGAATTGCTTAAAAGCAAGAGTCTAACCGCAACGGAAAATAAAAAGACGGATTGTATTTTCAAAACGTTCGTAATGTTTTATGGGTAAACGCCCACAAGTTTTACATTTTTACGTTACATTTAAGAATTTGCTTTATTTTTAGCTTTACGACCATTTTTTTTAACTTATAAAAAAGCAACATGTTAGCCAAGTCCCAGGACAACCGACATAACTTCGTCAAAATTCGTAAGTTTCCAGTGACGTCATTTGTATCATTTCCGAAGGGCAAGGTGAAGGCCGGTGTTGTAATAGGTCGGTAATTTTTCAGCACAATGTAAGTAAGGCAAAATCATTCACCGCGCCCAATAGATAGGACAGTTAACCAAACAATGGAATTAATTTTTTTCTATTTTTGATGTTACGATCTCTGCTAAGGACATTGGGTATAAATATCAATAGTCATTTAATTCGACTTTTTGACTCTTTTTAATAAAAAGAAATCTTTTGAAAACTTACCTTGAAATAGCTAAATAAAGCTACCTGAGGTAAGTAAATAAAGCTACGTAGGTAATTCTACCTACGTAGCTAAATCTAGTGATTGTACTGGACCTGATGTACACATACAGCACCAACCTGTGGAATAAGTGGAGCCTTTTTATCACACGTCGCCTCAAAATCCAGAATCAGAAGATATTTGAAAAGTTGCTCCTTTTTGTTGCTCGCCATATCTTTTACTTGGATGTTAATTAGTTTTCTGGTGTGTATCTGACGAACGTAATTGCACAACTTGAACTTTGCAAGTCTACGAAATGTTACTTTCATTTTCGAGGTAAATGTGCGAGAGAAAGGTTTCGATGCCGCATTAATTGAATTTTATGTTTTACGCAAAGGACGCTTTTGCATTAACAAGATTGGGTATAGCATCATTTTGAGAGAATGTCAAGAAATCTAAGGTATATTACATTTTTGTAACTTATGCAGAGCTCTGTAGAGCTCTCTAGTTACCCACATTCTTTTGCGCATCTATAAAATATCAAAAATGAGATGGCGCAAGTTTCAAAAGGTCAACATATAAAGTCACGTGACTTTGTAGTCCAACCTTGACCTTCTATGAAAATAATCTGTGAGATCACTGACAGTTGAAATTATTAAAGAGTAAAACCACGAGATTTTACCTTTATTTTCAGCAGCACAACCATAATAAATGGACATAGAATGACTCTGTTAAGGTAACACAGCTATTATTTATGTCTCTTGCTTTACTTTGACTTTGATGTGTGATATTTTGGGACAGGTGGTCATCTGATGTTGACAGTGGTCTCAGATCCTCTTTCCTTCAGATGATACAGCCGTAACGGGTAGGGATGATCAAGATGGACAAACACACGGAATATACACAACCTTTGAAAACCAGAATTTTTTGTATTTATTTTACTTCTTGAACTAACAGTACTTACTGACACAGTGGGGGAGTGGGGATGATTCAGCAGTGAATTCTGGCACCCTGATAGGAAACAGTGGTCTTTATCATAGGCGCTTGGTTTCAAAATGGCGTATTTTGTGTATTATGTGTTTTTCTAGGTGTGTCTGAATATGCTCATTAAAATAAAAATAAAAATTCGCTGAAATTAGCACGTTTTAAACATGTCATATTTACTGTACAGTATATAAAAAGAAAGAAATGAGCGTCACTCGCCATATTGAAAATCGGGGGGTACCTTGGTTCATACTTAATTTTCACCTATATCTACATTTTTCCTACCGGTCTCGGGTGAGATTTACCTTCATAAATGGTTGAATAATGCCTTTCAAACGTCTGCCAATTTGAATCTGCCGTATAAAACATGCATTAAACCCAAAACGTCCTCGATACCAAGCACAGAAATGGAAAGCAACAGAAGTGCCGATTTCTAACGATGAAAAATATAAAGGCATCCCGGAATAACATGGAAAATCTAGAGAGGTTAGAAACCACGCCGAACTTATTCTCTGTAGATTTTCCATGTAATTCCGGGGACGTCTCTACATTTTTCATTGTTAGAAATCAGCACTTGCATTGCTTTCAATAAACAGGTGCAAGAATCTACAACATTTCGGTTCACTGCATGTTTAAAACGGCATATGTAGTTAACAAATGATAGTGAGTAGTCATTCAATCATTTTTGAACTTAATTTTACTATCGGTGCAATTCACACTCCGTAGTCCAAATTTTATTTAAAGTTACAAACTCCCTGACAAACTTTTAGAATCAACCCAATTTACCAATCAGGGAAATTAGTTATTAAATAATCTTAGTACATGTAAAGACTATATTTGTGGAGAATATTGTAGAGTGTGGAGACGTGTTTCACATTTTAAAAAGTTATCTCCTTAGTCCTTAAGCTTATTTCTCACTAAGTGTATCCTTAGTATTAACTTATCTATGAATTTTAAGTAATATTGTAATTGTTTCCCTCATATGATTGATTCCTCACATTCCTGACCAAATGTTAATTGTCTATGTATACATAAAAAGATAACAGTTCTTGGAAATCCCTTTGAAATATTTTTCTTTAAAATTTGGAAAGAATTGGTAATTTCTGAGACAGAATTATGTTTCTTCATTTATTATTATTATTGGATATGCATGTATATATTAATTTATTGATAAGCTGTTTCCATGAGATAACCATATTACATGTACTATTTATCCAATATTGATTTATTTACCAAGGTGGTATTACTATAAGTAAAGTATTTGTGACAGGAAGTATATTTTTTTCCAGTATTATGATTATTTCTATACATGGTCTAGTAGCTAGCAGAGCTGCCAACCCTTACGATTTTGGCGTAAGGCATACGAAATCAGCATCTAAAATACGCCTTACGATTTCTCTCTATATTCTTCTGATTTCAGTTTTTCTCGTTCAAATTTTATAATACCCGTATTTTCATCGCTGGCACTCTATAGGTTCTACTGTTATAAATGAATATATTCATAATTCTTACAACGCTTGCTTGTATCATCGTTTCGATTTTAGAAGGCCAATCACATTCATATCAGTGTTTTAAAGTAAACAAAATGGAAACATGCCTCAGATTGCATGTCCATTTACAAAACATCTTCAGCGGCAGGGGGCCTAGGTGGTCCCTAGACCCCGCCTTACTATATTTCATTTCAGAATGTTGGCAGCTCTGAGCTAGTTTCTCTGGTACATCTGTATATTAGAGACTTAGCACTAGATTTTGTCTGTGGGAAATATTTAACTCAAACAGTTGAACACCCAATAGAACGAATGAATATCTTGAAGAGATTATTAGCAATTCATTTGGTTTCTGAAAGTCAGTGATAGGGAAACCTGTAAACTATCACTTCAGTAGATATATTATTAAGCATGCATACCGTAAATCTGGAAATTTTTGCTGTAGATAAATTTTTAGCAAATTTGCGAGTTCATTTGCATTCGCAAAAATATTTTTCTTAAAAACAAATTACCAATAAGAAAATGTAAACAAAGCAGTGGTCATTTGCAAAATTTTGAAACGTAAAAATTAATCAACAGCATTTTGACCCAAATTCGCAAAATAAAATTGACGTAAAAATTTCCAGATTTACGGTATATTTATTTACAGTATAAAACTCAACATGATTCATATATAAATCTCAGAAAAAATATCTCTGGCAACAAACCTTTCTACAGAGAAAGTGAGTTTAGCTGGTTGCTACTTCTAGTTAGATAACATTATATGATTTATTTCATGACCTTTCCTTTACACAGTTAATGAGCTAACCCCTTTACTCCCACCCACCCCACAAAAACACAGATTTATTAACAAATGTTCTTACATTGCAGTAATTGAGTTATTGGGTTTGACAGGTAGGAAGCTGGATTAGCAGGATGACTGATGACATTACCTGTAATTAGGGGAGATGACTGATGACATTACCTGTAATTAGGGGAGGGCATTGTCCCCGTCACTCACAGGTGAGTCAACTATAAAGGGCGTGGCTGTCCTGACAATGAAATGATCGATTGGTTACTGATACAATTCATGTCAAATCTAGAGCAGTCAGAGTTAAAGTCTATTGATTTCATACTGAGATCACTTATAAAAAAAAAAATTGATTTGGAAAAGTTGAAGAAATTAAACATGTGGAGGCATGGTTTCTTATATTTTTATTTTTTTTTCCAATTTACAGTGCTGTGACCTTAAAAAGCAAATATGGATAGCTTAATTGTTGATTTGGACAAAGTTTTAGATGATTTTGAGGCAGAAGGTGAGCACATAAAAGAATTCGTGAAAAAAGCAGTTCAGAATAAAATTGTTTCCAGCAGAAAACATAATGATACTTACTTTATTGATAACTGATCTTTTTTTATTTCTACAGCAAATTTCATAGAGTTACAAACTATGTTACACAACAATTCTATGTTTCTATGAAAATGATTCAATCCATAGAAAAAAAAAATCCTCGAAAGGGGGATCTGTTTCAGTAAAATTTTAAAGATATTGACTGTGACTTTGTTTTATTGTTCAGAGACAGGAGGGAAGGGATGCCCAGGGCAGGAGACCAAGCCCTCGGATTTCTCCAGCTACGTGGCCCTGAAGAGTGACAGGCCCTGGGAGGAGCTCTCTAACGTCACCAGCACTACCGACTCAACGTGGACAGCCGGCGTTAATCACACCAATGAAATGGCAGCCTACGACATCCCGTACAGTCCGAGTGATCAGTTCGACCTCTCAGAGGCAGACTTTGCCCCGGCCACAGAATATAAAACTGGTTCCTCGTACAAAACTGGTTCCTCCGAGAATAGTGCTACCAAAGTGGCTACCAAGCCTAGTCACCTGGTGATGAATGGTGATCACAAACTGGATCTGAGCCAGGTCATCACAAACGGATCTCAGGACTATAAATACCCCATACAGGCTCGGGACGAGTTTACTCCGGTGTACGAGAACCAGCCATTTCCCCCCGACCTGGCCCACGCCATCTCAAACGGGGTCAATAAGTCAAATCTAACTTACATTCAGGAGATCGGTGAGAAATCAGAGGAATTGAATCCCTCATATCAGACTTACACTAACAATACGGGGACGTACACCCCACCCAGGATAAAATCTCACCAACACGTGGTACCCACCACCTATCCCTCGGTGGATAATTCCATTGACTCTGGTGTTAACAGTATAGACAGTAACATGACCCTCTCCCCTACAAACTTAACACTGCGACCAATGCCGATTCACGCTGGAAACTTCATACAGACACAGGAGGCCATGGAAGTCAGTGGTACTTCACAATCCCAAAGTCGTGACGCACTGGCCAGGCAGGAAAATATAAGGTCAGTGAAACCACAGACTCCACAAATAGTGGACAACTGTGAGGAACAGACAGGGTCTTCTAGTCATGACATTGTTAATGATGTCAAGGTTTTCAACCAGAAATCTATCTCTGTTTCTGAGCCGAGGTTTGATGTGAACAATACGGAGGGCAGGCCCTCAAACAGGACAGATTTGTCTGTAGGATCAGACAAACAGACAGACAGTGCAATCAGTAACAGACAGACAGACAGTGAGGGTGAAGTGAGTTCTAGCAAGGAGCAATCTCCCAATGAACAAAGTATTAAGTCATGTGATAAGACAGAAAGGAGTCTGGATTCTGTTTCCTCGTCGATGTCACATGACATCTCACCTGATTCAACGGAGCCTAAATACGTTGTACAACCTAAGACAGAACTAGACGTACAAGGGAGTGGCTATTCTGTAGACTCTGACGGTCCTGTAAGTCTGTCTGACACAGTGGAACCCCCCAGTAATAAAGAACAACTGGATAAAGAACAAGTGAATGTTAGAGATAGTGAACCCATAGAGGGCAGTAAGATCAGTTCAAACAGCAAGCTGCCAACTTCAGATTCACCAGCAACTGTGGGAATATCTCCCATAACTACAAACTCTAATTCAGCAGTGGGATTCTCTCCCGTAACTACAAACTCTAATTCAGCAGTGGGATTTTCTCCTGTAGCCACAAATTCTAATTCAGCAGTGGGATTCTGTGACACAGAAGTAGACATATCAGACTTGGACAATTATCTTGGTGATGTTAGTAATATAGAAACTGATGGACAGAATGCTAGTGTTCACCCAGAAAAATCTTTGATCCACACCACAGATTTCACAGATTCTACTCAAAGACAAGTACAACAAAGTGATACTGAGAGTGAAAATTTGATGACGGATAAAGTGATTCAGCCCGTTAACTGTGATGTACGTGATGAAAATGTTGCTGGGGAACGAATCAACAATGGCCAAGAAATGGTGAATGAACAAATCTCTCAGGGTGATGGATTTACTATGGAAAATTCTGTTATACAGAATGAGTCAACTACCAGTTTGGGGGACCAGAATCTAAAGTCAATGCCTCCCAATATGGGCGCTCGTCCTAAAGAACCCCAACAACTAATGGCCACCCCTCCAACTGAACCACCAAAGGCATTAGAGGCTGAACCAAAGGAATTCACAGATCTAACTGTTCATAGTGAGCAAAATATAAAACAGGCCTCATCAGTTCAAAGTGAGCAAGTGGTCAGCAAATTTGACCCGAGCGTTCCGAACCATGACTCAGTGGAAGAGATGGATCCTGACCTTGCGGCAGCCATCGCTCTGTCACTGCAGGAGAGTGGGTTAGAGGGGGCTGTGATGAGGCACCCAGGGGATACTGGTCAGCTGGCAGACCGCCCCCACTCCTGGGGTCCCGGGGAGGGAGGCACTCATCCACAGAGGCGGCCCAACAGTCTGAACCTCCCCCCACGAGGGGAACACGGTCATGAGAGGTCGTCGGCTCCCTATACATTCCCCTACCCCAGTAACTCAGAGACCAGTCCAGAGGTGGACGGAGAAACAGAGAATAGGGCTTCACAGGGTGAGAGAGGAACTTTACACAAATTCTTTATTACATGCAGAACATTTTGTTAGCACAATTTATGAATTTATCACATATTTAGATAACAAAAAAGTTCATTTGAATTTCTTTAGCCATCATGGCATGTCAAGAATGGGATGTAAAGATAGGGCAAACCTACATTGTACCTGTTATATATCTGTCTGTTGAATATTTTGTTAAGAAAGGGGTATTTTTTTCAGATCTGAACACTTTGCCTGAAGACACAGTACCGTATGAAGAACCTGTGGGGGCAGGATATAATCCCTCGGGGGTAGGGCGAGTGGCCCCTCGATGGATCCCTGACAGCGAGGCACCTAATTGTATGGGGTGTGACATGAAGTTTACGTTTACAAAGAGGAGGCACCACTGTAGAGCTTGTGGAAAGGTTTACATCTAAGTGTCTTTTCATGTTTGTGTTGTAACTTTAAGGATTGATTTTATAAGATTGCCTAAAGTGTTCCTCATTGAGAATGTAAATACATCTAGCCAACTTATCACTCTAAATTCACTCACTTATGATTACTTTGTTTTGTGCTACCTGTGTCGACTAGCTTTAAGGAAATCAACATAATATATATATATATATTTATTGTATAATGTAAATCAAGAATTGCTATAGTGAGTTCAGTAGATAAAATATTTCCTTATTTTGTTAATCTTGATAATGGTTTTGACAGGTGTATTGTTCAACATGCTGTAATTTGAAGAGTCGTCTCCCTTACATGGACAACAAAGAGGCTCGCGTGTGTGTTCCTTGTCATCAAATGATCGAAGGTAAAATCTATAAATTGGCGTGCAGGTCAAAGGTTAAATCTACAAATAAAAATGTAGATCAAAGGTAAAATCTATAAATAAAAATGTAGAGGTAAAATCTCTAAATAGTCTTGCAGATCAAAGGTAAAATCTACAAATAGAAATGTAGATCAAAGGTAAAATCTATAAATAGGCATGCTGATTAAAGGTAAAATCTATAAATAGGCATGCAGATCAAAGGTAAAATCTACAAATAGAAATGTAAATTAATGGTAAAATCTATTAATAGAAATGTGGATTGAAGGTAAAATCTATAAATAGGAATGTTTATCTAAATAGATGAATTAAAGGCAAAATCTACAATTAGAAATAGAGTTCAATCCAGGGATACCCTGCAGGTTATTTGTAAATTTAATCCAGAGGTTACATTATCATGATCATAATCTGTATACATAATCCCTTTGTAAAATAAAATCTTGACATTTTCTATCATAATCAGTGTCTTACATTTAGGGACATGGAAATAACTGCCCTGTCTGCAGAAATCGCTGCTGTCCCATGACATTATTCTTCACATTTTATACTGTTGACAGATTATGTTCATTAAAACCTGCTTGCCGTATTGTTTCTATTTTTCCTGCCCTGTATTCAGTTTACCTGCTTTGAATGTTCAGCTTTGCTTCTTTTCTGCAGCAGATTTGTGCAATGAAGTGGAGCAGGGCATAGCATCAGCTACAGGTGAACGACCTTTAACCTCTCCCCCCACAGGTGTACTCAAGCGAGACGGTAAGTATACTTACGTACATGTATAAGAACTAATGTATCACAGGATTATTGTTAATACACTTTCTTCCATATCAAAGTGCATTTAGAGTTTGGAAGTTGGTAAAATCTCCGACAAATTGCCAGTTACAGGTTACATGTTGGTATTTCTGATTTCTCCTTTGTTACTATATTCAGTAAAGAAACTTGAAAATATAGCAATTTTATTGCATTGCTGAGAATGCTTTATTATAAATATATATCAGCCTTTATGGTTTCTTTAGGAATGAATGCATTCATTTTCTGTCCTTTTAATTATTTATGCTGATTTCATTACTTGTTTTAGATGATTATTATATATAGCCATCTAACTTGATTCTGAATTAATTAAATTAATCCACATAATTTTTGTTCTGGTCTGCTTTGTGAACTTTGAGGCTAGTTTGCTGTCACAATCTGTTGAATCTTTGTTTAAGTCTAACCTTCTTGGCCACTCCTAGGGGTGGTGATTTTCCACATCCTGTATTTCAGTATATATCTTAGTGAACTTGAGGGTTGGAGTGTAAGCTGTAGAGTCTGTTTGTAGGTTCCCAGAGGAGACATGAGCCCAAACAGGTGATGTTTTCTGATGGAATCCGGCCTGGTGGTGATTTAACCGAGCTTGATGGTTCAAACCAGGCATCCTCCCGACTGCCACTGCGCCGGTCCCAAAGGAGTCAGAAACGAGTTGACAAGTCCAACACAGGTAATACTGGTACCTCAACTCTGTACAACTAATACCTCAACTGTATACAACTTTGGTAATGCAATTAGTTGCAATAAAGTGGCAATTTTGTTATAATCCAGCAATAGTCAGGTTAAAAGTTTTGCAGCAGAACTTCTATGCCCTATATATAAATCAGAGATGCATAAACACTTTTAATTTGTTTTATAAATTTTGGTCAATTTCTTTGTATAAAACTTTTTCAAAATTGCTCCTCAGTGAAAAAAGTTGAACTTCTTCACACTTCTCTGAAACAATTGAAAATGTTTGTTACATTGTAGATGGAGGAGGGAGACGAGTGCGCTCGAGTGAGACCATGAGAACTCAGTGTCTGATTCCCGAGTCAGGGCTCCCCCCAGTGGTTATACCTCCCAAGTCTAATGAAGGTCTGTATCAATCAATGGGGCAGTTTTATCTTCCCTTAAAAAGTCAAGACAATGAATACAACTAAAACAATAATATTATCCACAGATTCTTTGTACATGTTGAGAGTTTTCATAACTGTGGGGCAATTTTATCTTCCCTTAAGAAGTTCAGATACTTATTTAGAAAACGAATACTGCCTAAAACAATAAAATTATACACATTAGATTCTTTGTATAATTTTGAGAATTTTCTTAACTGCTGATAATCATTATTTTTGTCTGCTTAAAAACTGAAAAGGATTACAAGTACACCATACAAATGATCAAGGATTTTCTTGTATTATTGATATTTTATGACTTTTTGTCTTTGTAGAGTTGACACTTGAAGAAAATCCCTCCATGGAGAAGTACTTACCACAAATAAAAGGTCAGTTATTTGTAGATGATTGTAAACTTTACACAAACAATTCGACTGCTGCTTCAGTCCGCTGTGTCACCTCTAATGATAGCTAGAGGTGCTCCTAGGAATTAAATCAAGAACTTAAATTTAAACCATTATGATTGCAAAATTTACAGGAATTAAGTACATATTGAGTTTTGATGTGGATGATAAACAATATTTAAATCTTGTTTTTGATTTATCTATTAATTTCAGATGAAACTGCCAGCCCAGTGACCTTTGCCCTTTGTTCCAATCTTCATGTTTTGACAAAAATATTGACCTGTAAGTTGACTTGACATACATAAGATAAGCTGATTCTATGTTTTATCATAAGCCCTAAAATAACACTGAAAGTCCTTTAAAAAACTAACTAGTGTAATTTAGATGAATTATACATGTAAATAAATGTGCTTTATTTTTAAACTTCTCACAAAAAATTGAAAGATATTGCTAGACCTCCAAAGGTTACATATTATCAATCTTTATATACATGTGTAATTGACTGTATGATGTCTAACAGAGATTTTGGTTTCTTGTATTTTCAGTGGACTGTTGTGTAAATCGTGTGTGTTGGAGTTTTACCACACAGGGGATGTGTACCGTGGGACAGGATGAGATCGTCATTATACTGGAGTGTCTACCCGACGAGGAAATGATACCTGTGGATGTGTTCAGACATTTATATTATGTCTATGAGGAGGCTGGCAAAGGTCAGTTAAATGTTTATACTCTGTCTACCTGTGGATGTGTTCAGACATTTATATTATGTCTACGAGGAGGCAGGGAAAGGTATTTTAATCATTCTGATTTATTAGCCTAAAAAATCTTCGTCACAAGAACTAATGATCCAAATAGATGAAACGTCTGTGAAAGCTTCCTTAAGTGATGTTAACTCAAATGTCTTCAGATTGTGGCTCCAGGCTAAATATGGGGCTGCAATAGACAAAGTTTTCAAATTGTGGCCTTAAGGGTAGAGTTAATAGGTTACCATGTGGTTACTGTTCTGAAAAACAGCTGGGCTAAGGTGACTCAGATGAGCATTGTTGCCCGTGGGCCTTGTCATGTTGATAGACTTGTTAGCTTTCCATACACAGGGGCTCACATGAGCTTGCCTTAGTTTGTCTGATTTCATTTGGCTATTCTATACCATGCGTACAGCACGTTACTGTCAGTTGTATTGTGTAAGTAACACCGTGATTTCTTTTTTAGGTAACACAGTCTCAGACATGGGACATTCAATATTTACTCAGACATTCCTAGATGACCGGGATCACGGAGGGTTTCTGTACATAAAGCCAACCTTCCAGTGTCTACATAAACTTGTGCTCCCCACACCTCCCTACTTATTTGGGATCCTCCTACAGAAATGGGAAATGCCCTGGGCCAAAGTCTTTCCTATTCGCCTCCTGTTGAGGCTTGGTGCGGAATACAGATGTAAGATTATTATACCAATATCTGCTAAATATGTTATGGGTTGAAGGTTTTAGATAAAAGTTAACAAATTTTCCAACATGATTATTCTTAATCATTGGAACTCGTTTCTTTTTACAAGTTATTTTATAAGGAATAATATTTTATAGAGTTTTCAAAAAAGTGATAAGTTTAGATAATGACTAATGTTATCTACAGTGACGCTGTATCTTTATCTTATTTCCATTACAGACTACCCTTGTCCTTTGATCAGCATTAGGAATCGTAAGCCGGTCTTCTATGAGATCGGACACACGATAATGAATCTCCTGGCTGACTTCCGTAATTTCCAGTACATGTTACCCCAGATCAAGGGAATCACAATACACATGCAGGACAAACGGACAACTATCAACTTCCCGAGGAATCGATACGAAGATGTAAGTCCTTACTAAAGATAAAGATTTAAAGAAAAATATTTTATGAGATACTGTATAGGGGGAAAATAACTCGCGGTGTTAATATTCGCTATATTCACGGTGATAATAAATCCGTGAATTCAAGAAACAGTGAATAAATTTTCAATAATCTCCAGGTTTTATTTGGAAATTTGAGAATAGACAACGATAGGGCAACATACATGTACGCGAAGTACATGGTAATTTCGGCCGGTAATTCTTAGTAGTACTCGTCATTCAATTAATTTAATTATCACGCTTAACTTAAATTCATTTCTGCATATAATAACCCGTATTTGTTAAACAAGCTGTTTTAATAGCCAACGCTACGTTTCATCAATCAAAACACGTGGGTCATGGGTTTTGATTATCCGTGCGTAACTAATGTTACCACGTGTATTTGTTACTGCATTATCATGCATGCATATGAGTTTTTATCAACATTTTGGAATTAAAAAATCATTCAAATAACTATAGAACTTCCTGAAGATGTGGAAGGATATTTCGTCGACCTTTTCCAACATTAACACATTTATTACCGTCCAGTGCTTTTTCGTTGCGTTGTATCGAAGATCTTAGGGTGTACACGCACTCATTTTAATAGCATATAGGAAAGACATTTGATGTTTAGAGTCAAGGACTTTTGATAACTGCACTTGTTTTAATTAATCGTCAATTTTTTTTTATATCAAATCTAATTATTTTATTTAAACCTACCCCGTTGTTGGTGAAATAAAGTCATAAAACTGATTATTAATATCGATTACATGTAGCTTTGGTATGGATAAACGGATATAGACAAGGGAGGTAACTTTTATTATGTACCAATTCCGCGAATTCAAGAAACCGCGATCGTGTCAGATGAGAGAAAAACGTGAAAATTACAACCCGTGAAATTAATCCCCTATACAGTATTAGTAAAACTCAAAATGTTTTATTTTTATAAAATAGTTAAGTCCTGATATACATTTATATCTTCGTGTTTCTGTAATACATGTATTCTTTAATCCTGAAGACCTACAGAAACCATTAATGTTACAATGATATTGAAATGATATTGACGTAGGAATGAGTGTTTAATTATTATGAATGTTTATTCTTTAAGCTTATGAAGGTGGTTGAAAATAGTAACGAGCATGTGATGGCTATAGGAGCTTGCTTCAGTACGGAGGCCGACTCCCACTTAGTGTGTATCCAGAATGACGACGGAAATTATCAGACCCAGGCCATAAACATACAGAACAAGCCAAGGAAAGGTTAGTACAAAAGTCACACCCAGCCATTAACATACAGAACAAACCGAGGAAAGGTTAGTACGAAAGTCAGACCCAGGTCATTAACATACAGAACAAACCAAGGAAAGGTTAGTACAAAAGTCAGACCCAGCCATTAACATACAGAACAAACCGAGGAAAGGTTAGTACGAAAGTCAGACCCAGGCCATTAACATACAGAACAAGCCAAGGAAAGGTTAGTACAGTCAATTCTCGAATTATCGCCATTCGATTCATCGCCATTTTCGCAATACCGCCATGATTTCCCAAGAACATTTTTCCTGCTATATAAAATTCTCTTTATAACGCCAAATTCGCATACCGCCATCCGCCACCCTGTTTTCACAACAAACGTCCATTTTTAAGTGTCAATTATCTCGATAATACCGCCACAGGTGTATGTGGTCAGTGAAGCGCGTCTAATTGGTTGACGCTATCCCTGTTGTAAAGCATGCAAAGCCAATCAAGGTACATGCAATTAAGTAAACAATGATTTTAACATGAACTGTTAGAATAATTTTGTTTTCTTTTTAATAAAATCATTTAGTCAAGGCTTCGCCACGAAAGCGGTCGTTGTAAAGTACGCCGATAACGATATTATTTTGATGATCTCTGCTTTTAAAAACAATGCAAGGTTTGTTTAAAAAATAATTACAAGTCAGAAATTGTGAACGTTTCATTAACAATGATTTCATAAACAATGAATTTATTCAAGAACTTATTTTACGTACTTACTTTAGGCAATATATCATGACAATCGACCAGAGACATATAAAACCATTATATGTCTCTGGATCGACCCAGCATTTTTTTCCAATATCAGATGTGCAGATTTATTATTATTATTATTATACAAAATTTATAGAGCGCCTTATATAATAAACACAATTACTCTAAAGCGCTGTACAACATAGTTAAAATACATTCATAAAAACAACATCAGGAATAAAAATTTTGTTGAATAGCATAAGAAAATAAAATTAAGTATTGATAACCATTTTAAAAATTAAAAATATTTTTGCAAAATGATGATTAAACGATATCAAAACACGAAAAGAGAAAACTGCATACAATAGAGCATAAGAAATTTCAGAAGATTAAAAATAACCAAAAATTAAAAGTCAGAAATCTTTAAACATAAATAAATAAATAAATAAAAACAGTCTATATTTGACACTTAAAAATAAAAATTTAACGGAATGCTTCCCTAAAAAGATGAGTTTTCAGATGTTTTTTAAAAGTGTTCAAAGATGGGCATAAAACCAGATGTGGAGGTAAAGAGTTCCAGAGGGATGCAGCGGCCACGTCAAAACGTCTATTCCCATAGGTTGATGTTCGGCAGTGTGGTCTTTGCAGTGACAGCTTGTTTGCCGATCTAAGGGAACGACCAGGTTGATATACGTTGATGAGCTCTGCAATGTATTTTGGTGCTATATTGTTGATTGCTTTGTAAGTATAAATAAGAATTTTGTACTGGATGCGTTTGTCAATTGGAAGCCAATGAAGGGAAACAAGGATCGGAGTAATGTGCTCCCTCTTCCTGGAACGAGTAAGAATGCGTGCAGCTGTGTTCTGTATTCTTTGTAATTTGGCTATTTCGGTTGCATTTATGCCATAGAGGAGAGCGTTGGCATAGTCGAGCCTAGATGTCACAAGAGAACAGACCAGGGTCTTGCAGGCATCCTCTGTAATCAATGGACGTATTCTACCAATGTTCCTAAGCTGGTAATAGCATGCACGAGACACCGAGGAAATTTGCATTTGCATGCTAAGAGACTTATCAAACCACACCCCGAGGTTCTTTACACTGGTCGCCTCTCTCACGATGGTGTCACTAAAGTTCAGATGGTAAGATGGAGACTCCTTGAGTTGTTGTTTCGGAGTAAAAACTATAAATTCTGTTTTGTCCTGGTTTAGTTTTAGCATGTTGGAACACATCCACTGCTTGATTTCTTCCAGGCATGTTTCAAGTCTCAAAGCGGTATTATTCCAGTTGTTCCTGGGTTTAAAGACCAGATAAGCTTGGGTGTCATCAGCATAACAATGATGGTGTATGTTGTTTTTGGAACATATGTTACAAATAGGTCTGGAAAAAATGGAATATAACCTTGGACCCAACACAGATCCTTGTGGTACACCACATCTAAGATGGTAGTCCCTGGAAAAAGAAGATCCAATAGCAATTTTATGTGTCCTTCCTGATAGGTACGACTTGATCCATGCGAGGGCCGAGCCAGATATGCCAAAACCAATTTCTAGTCGATTTATCAGAATGGAGTGGTCGATGACATCAAAAGCTGCAGATAGGTCTAACATAATTGATGCCACACATGAACCAGAATCTAAAGCTGCAACAATATCGTGATGGACTCTGAGTAAAGCTGTTTCAGTAGAGTGACAGGGGCGATATGCTGATTGTACATTGTCATGAAGGTAATTTGACTCTAGGTGATGATCAAGACGTTTAGCAACAACTTTTTCGAGAATTTTGGAGAGGAAGGAAAGGTTTGAGACAGGTCTGTAGTTGCGGTACTCCTCTGGATCTAAGCCGGCTTTCTTGATGAGAGGACGAACAACAGCCTGCTTAAAGGATGATGGAACAACAGACTGATTTAGGGAATGATTTATAATGTCTGTTACCATAGCAAGGCAACTATCAAGGCAAGATTTCAGCAAGAATGATGGCATGGGATCAAGTTCACAGGACTTAGGAGATGCTGACAAGATTATGGCATGGATCTCATCTTGAGATGCAGGTTCAAAAGCATGCAGGTGAACACCAGTAAACTCATTATCATCCTGTAGTGGATCAATGCCCATCTTACTACCATTACACAGTTCATTTCTTATTTTCTCAATCTTAGCCTGGAAGAATTCTCCGAAGGAGTTGGCCAGCATTTCTTCACATTGATGTGCCGGCAATACAACATCGGACTTGGCTGCCATAAGTCTGTTTGTAAGGCGATACAGTTGTTTTTGATCCTTGCACATCTCCACAATTTTCCTTGAATAGTAACTCTTCTTACAGTGAATAGCAAGTTTAGATACCTGGGTACAATGACTGCGGTAGATTTCCTTGTGGACAGTCAAATCAGTTCTACGCATTTGTCTCTCTGCCTTTCTCCTCTCCCTCTTAGCAGCTCTTAGCTCACTGGTGTACCATGGACAGTCAGGACGAATGGTAATCACTTTTGATTGTACAGGTGCAAGAGAATCTAGAATGTTTTGAAGTGTTGTATTATATAGATTCACAGACTTTTCCACTGAATTTTCGCCTTTCTGTAATTCGAAAGAAGAGCGGATTGAATCGCTTAGGACACTGATTACAATATCCCGTAATTTTCTAAATTTAATAGACTTACGCTCCCTTGCCGGCTTGGATAGTGTGAGTTTTGAGCAGATGGCTAGATGGTCACCAGCAGGGTTACCATTCTTGTCGTATTGCCCTGGGTCTGTTACACACGGTTCACAATATAGGACAGAGCTGCTATCCCTCAATATCACCACATCCAGAATATGGCCTCCAGAATGTGTTGATTCCTTCACGTGCTGAACCAATCCATGATCATCTAAGATCCTTAGAAATTTGACACCCTCAGGATCCTGCACATTATCCAAATGGAAATTGAGGTCACCAGTAATAATTAATTCCCTGTGATCAACCACCACACTGTCCAGAAAGTGGGACCATTCGTCGAAAAAGACAGAATTCCTAAGCTGGTTCTTCTTAGATGGAGGAGGTCGGTATATGATACATAGGCGAGTGAAGTTAATGACGCATTCCAGGTATTCAAAGTGTGTGAATGTATCTTCTCTACTCACAGCTTTAACATCCATGGTGCTCTTGTAAACGAGGGCTACTCCGCCACCTCGACCATTATTCCTCGCTTTATGAATAAATTTGTATCCATCCGGCAAGAGTTCTGATATGACGCACTGATCAGAGTCCCCGAGCCAGGTTTCTGTTAATGCAAGTAGGTCAATATCATTTGATATTATAAGATCACAGATGGAATCAGTCTTATTTCTCACTGATCTACAGTTTAGAGTATAAAGAACCACAGGTTTTGCACAGGGGGCAATAGATCTTTGACTTTTTGATGTTATTTTGATAAGGTTGGCTGGTATATATTGTCTCCAAGAAATACTATCAGAATTTCCATGCACAGTAACACGTTTTACAATTTGTCTCTGTTTTCTGGCACCACTGCGTACATACGTACATACACATAATTTCATAATTGAATACTTTGTTTTAGCGAAATTGTACTTAAAAAAATTACTTGAAGTATATTTTCAAATTTAGAAATATGTTTATATATACATGTACATGTGATAATAAGAATAGAAACGCTAAATGGTATTTCTAAGAATGATAACTCTACGTCTTTTCTCCTAAAAGGTGGAAAATTCAATTCATCACCAAATTCGTTATACCGCCATGATTTCTAAATTACAAAAGGTGGCGGTTTATCGAGAATTAACTGTACAAAAGTCAAACAAATTCTTAATGGTGAACTCAGCAAGAATCCTAAACAAGAGTTTTGGAAACTCTTCTTACATTCATAATTTTATTCTTCCAGTTGTTTAGAATTTTAAAGGTCTTCATCCACTCATTATTCAACTGTTCCTTCTTTTTATAAAAGCTATGCCCCTTGCGTTTCAGTGACGGGAGCCAGTTTTGTTGTGTTCAATGGAGCCCTGAAGCCGAGTTCTGGACTGAGGGCGAAGTCCAGCATTGTGGAGGATGGACTGATGGTGCAGATCACCCCCGAGTCGATGGCGGCCCTCAAACAGGCCATTAAAGACATGAAGGAGTTCACCATCGGGTGTGGTCCTCTGTCCTCACAGTCTCCGGAGGAAGTGGTCCTCATTCAGTGGGTCAGGGAGGACAAGCACATCAATCTCGGGTAGGTGGACAACATTGAAGGCTTGTATAGTAAAACACACTTATGATGAAGTGTCGGGACTGATGACTTTTCTTTACTATAAGCATTATTCATTATATGCGATTATAAGTTTACAATGTTAAACTCATGGGGAATAAAGCAGTTGCTGTAAGCATCAATTCATTAAAAGTCTGTTAGCTACAAGTGTGTTTTACTGTATTTGGTTTAATATCAAATTAACATTGCTTTCAAATTGCACTTTGTAATTATAATAAATATTAATTTTTCACAGGCATTTGTTAAATGAAGTATCCTTTATATTCCATGATAGAAGAGTTTATAAATTGTTTTATTTGTAAAAAGAGTAAAGAGTCCAATAGATGGTATGCCAATGGACGGCATCACGAGTGTCCATATTCCTCACGCCACGGACTACGCCGGGGAACACCGTGTCATCAGGTGGACCGACGTCTTCTTCATCGAGAACAAAGACGGCGGATCTCGTGACCCAGTAGACGTCAGTCACATGGCGGAGATGCTGGCCAGCGCCGCATGTATTGCCCTCACCCCGCGTCTGGACCAGTTAAAGGAGGCGGGCCTCGTAAAGCTGGGACTCCGTGTGTCGCTGGAATCTGATAAGGTACACCACTGTCACATTAATAGCCAAACTAGATTTACCATGTTTTACTTAATTCCTCACAGTTCCAGTGTTTTATCTACTTTTTCTTTTAATGAGATCTGATAGAAGAGCTTTATGCCTAATCATGCCAACAACTGGTTTTGGAAAGTAGCAATTTAGTAAAATAACACTTTTATTAGTTCCTGTATAATTTGTTTTAGAATTGAAATACATTATTTTCAATTATTTTTCATGATTTAGGTGGGATATGACATAGGAGCCAATGGAGAAAAATTACCAGACATTTATATGAATGACCTTGACAACGAGTTAATTCCTGTTATTCACAGCGCAGTCCCTCTCTGTCGAGGGGGATCAGTGGTCTTAGAGCTCATATTTCACATTCTGGAGTGATCACACAGATTCACTGGATTCGTTTACGATTAGTTTGTCAGGCTGTTGTGATATTTATAGAACTGAAATGAAATTCAGATCATTGTTATCTCATCATCAACACGTTTTAGTTACAGGTATATTCAGTGTATAATAAAAGCTTTTAAAATGGCTGGAACATGTTACAATTTATGTGTATTTTTGTCTGTGAAATGTTCTTAATGTATAGGTTTTATTTATTCAGAAAATTTTATAAAGGAATATATTTCTAGCCATATTGCATAGTAATTTTTATAGTACATTATAAAAATAAATGATATGTACGTGCTTAGTATCATTAGCCATGTGTAAATTGTTGACAACGGAAAAATGAATTTCACACATTAGAAAGAACAAATATTGTCTTTTGTTTCTGTATTGTGTACAAATTTTGTATGGTTGGTAATCGATTCAAAACAAATTTAATTTATACCAAATTTTTAAGTAGAGTCTATCTACATAATATAACAAAGTTCATATTAGTTGGTTTCTGCATAGAAATTTATGTGTGCACAACAATTTATCGTATGTTAAAATTATATCTTGATTGCTGTGTAATAGTGTAGATGTTAAGATAAATGGGAGAAATGCTTGCTGGTTTGCCCATTGTGACAGCGATTCATTTTTCATTGATTCCCAATGGTTTTATTTATCAAGTTTGTCAATTTCTGTGCATTAAATTTTTAGGATTATTTTCAGTATGTCAAGTTCTTTGTTTGTCTAATGCAGGAGTAAATATATTTATTTACTTGGTGTCTTTCTTTCTTTTCTTTTCTTTTCTTTTTCTTTTCTTTCTTTTTTTTTTGGCAATACTCTTCTGCATTTAGAAATGATGTAAGATATGATATTTGTTTATTTATTGCTATATTAACTTTCAGTATGTTTTGTTATAACGTATGTTTTTATTTTGTGAAAGTAAACAAAAACTGAATTTTGAAAGTAATACCATTGAAAACATGTACACATTATATGTAATATTTATTTAGCTTGTAAGCTTTTGTTAAACATAAAATAATAGTCATATTGTTGGAGAGATTTATTGTAATTTGTTATCGGTGTATAAAATTGTATGTATGATGGTCTAATCCTGGTATGAGGTGTGAAATTATCCACAATAAAAAGATATTCTACCTACAGCTCCAGAGTTTCCATTTCTCTGAAGATGTTATCACAAGCAAGGTGCTCTATATCATCTGTCAGTTGACGTGTGAATTTGAACTTGATCTTTCTTGCTCTTTTAGCTCACTTGAGCCAAAAGCTTGTGTGAGCTTTTCTTATCAAAATTTGTCTGTTGTCTGTCGCCATCGTTAACTTTTCACATTTTCATCTTCTCAAGAACCACTGGGCCAATTTAAATCAAACTTGCTACAAAGTATCCTTAGGTGGAGGGAATTCAAGTTTATTCAAATGAAGGGCCATTCCCTCTTCCAAGGGTAGATAATTATTAATTTTAGTGAAAAATTAATGGCATTTTTAAGAAATCTTCTTCTCAAGAACCACTGGGCCAGGAAAGATGAAACTTGTCGAATCATCCTCAGGTAGTGTAGATTCAAATTTGTTCAAATCATGACCCCCGGGTAGGATGGGGCCACAATGGCTGATCAAAGTTTTATATAGGAGTATAGAGGAAAAATCTTTTCAAGAAGCATTGAGACAGGAAAAATGAAACTCATGTGAAATTATCCTGAAGTAGTGTAGAATTAAGTTTGTTCAAATCATGACCCCTGGGGGTAGGGTGGGGCCAAAATGGCTGATCAAATTAAATTACATAGGAATATATAGGGAAATCATTTAAAATCTTCTCAAGTACTTCAAGACCATGATTAGTGAATATTTATATGGATTCATCCTCAGGTAGTGTAGATTGTAGTTTGTTCAAATCATAACACTTAGGGATAGGGTGAAGCCACAATGGGGGATCCAAGTTTCACATTTAAATATATTTTCGAAAATCTTCTCAAGAATAGCAAAGCCATGATAAGTGATACTTAGTCTAGTATTTATATAGAAGCATTCTCAGGTAGTGTAGAATTAAATTTTGTTCAAATCATAACCCCCAGGGATAGGATGGGGCCACAATGGTGGATCAAAGTTTTACATAGAAAAATAAAGGGAACAAGATGTGTTTGTGAAACACTATGCGACCGGCGGCAACAATTAATTGAAAGTTTAAAAAAAACATATTTTTAGCATATAGGTCACAGTCAAGGTCACAAGGTCATTAATTTGGTGTCATTTGTAAGAGTATACATGCCAAATATGAAGTCTCTATCTCTCATGGTTCAAAAGTTATGGCGAAGGTTCAAAAAAGCTATTTTAGCAAATAAGCATATAAGACACAGTCAAGGTCACAAGGTCATTGAACTTGGTGTGATGTGAAAGGGCTTAATTATTGGAGTATACAAATATAAAGTCTCTATCTTTCTTCATTCAAAAGTTATGGTGAAGGTTAAAGTTTGCAAAAAAAACAACTATTTTTAGCATATAGGTCACAGTCAAGGTCACAAGGTCATTGACCTTGGTGTCATTTGAAAGAGCTTAATTAGTGGGGTATGCACCATTCATTATTCAAAAGTTATGGCGAAGGTTAAAGGTTGCAGACAAACAGATAAACAGACAGACAGGACAAAAACAATATACGCCTCGGATCTCTCGATTCGGATGCATAAAAATCCCCAAAACAGAAAAGCTATGTGTAGTCATATTGACATGTAAGCATCCTCAAGTATTGAAGTTTTAAATTTGTTCAGATCATGGCCCTTTTGAGGTTGGGAGGAAAACAATGGGGATTCAAATTACTGTGAAGTAATGTATTGGAAGAAAATGTTTTAAAGAAATCTTTTTATCAAGAACAGCAAAGTCATATATATATATGCTTTATTGCTATGAAGGGATTCTCAAGTAGTATTAAAATTCAAGCGCCCCCTCCACCCCCTCCCCCCGTAAACTTTTCAGTTCGGATCTGATTTGAGCTTTTCCCTAGCTTATGTGCTCAGATGAGCGATGTAGCCCCTGGGCCTCTAGTTATAGCCATGGCTCAAAGTCAGAATACAAAGGTCAAAGTAAGGTAGATACTGGAAATTTTGACAAGCTTAGAACGAAAAACTTGAAATATCTCAAAAACGAGGACATCAGGAATCTAAAATGATATGCAAATTTATCATTAAAGTGCAGATTCAAGTTTGTTTAGAGGATGATTCACAAGGTGGCCGGGAGAAAACGGGGTACTGGGATTTAAAGGAATATATTTAGGAAAAGTGGAAGTCCTTTTAAAGAAACTATGGCATTGATATTAAAATCATCTTGTGTGTACTGTATTATAAATCACAAGCGATTGTGTCTAAAATTCAGATGATTACAAGTCATAAATAGGCTAGAACACATCCTATGAACACTGAAGTGCAGAATCAGATCAGATAAGATCGATTTATGACACCCCCCCCCCCTCCCCCCCCTACACACACACACTTTTACAGAAACCTAGTTACACCCATTCCGATATCTTTATGACAAGAAATGCAACTATGAATTGTAGTTTATATATTATCATTTCTTTTGAAATATATGTACAAGACACTCAGACTACTTATAAGTATACATATATATGGTTCACCTTATTCATGACTTCCTTTAAAAAATTTTAAAGCTGGAGAAATAACCGAATTAAACAGATTTTTTTAAGAGAATTATAAGAGTGACGTTTAAGCATATATGTGTAGCTGGCTAAGTGACTTGACTTTAAAATTCGTGTTCAAATAAAGTTATATACATTCAAATCAAAACGCATATATGAAAGCCTATTAGGATCAATCTAGAGAGAGAAAAAAAATTAAAAGGCGTTATAACGCCTTTCGAAAAGGCGTAATAACGCGAAAAAAGGCGTTATAACGCCTTTCTAAAGGGTGTTAATAAAGTTCGTTCCCCATTTTTCTTTCATTTTCGACAAGAAATACGATTAAAAGATATTTACAATTTGTGATATTTCATGTTTAACGAGCCAATTCTTGCTAGTGGTAAGGTTTTAACTGTCTTTTGTTGAATCAATAAGGGTAGGGTAGGTATTAAAACAGATGACGTATGTTCAGAAAAATTAGGGATGAAGCATATTTGTGACATATATTAAGCGCAAAGGTCTAAACATCTTTTTAAATATTATGCAAAAATTATCAAATCTGTTAAAAATTTCAAAATGACTGACTATTTTTTTTGAAACGTGATCGATTGTTCTTATACATACGCTCATCAGCTTGTCTGATGCAAGATAATCTATGAAGAAACAAAAGTAAATTATCCTTTATTTCCACTCAAAATAACCAGCATTTCTATCATTTTGGTGTTGTAAAGATGTTATATATATTTCCATATGGAAGAAAAATCCAATATTTTCCTGCTAGGAATGAATTGCTATAAATCCAAAGCACACTCTTGTAATTTTATCAGACTTGAAAATTCATCTCTTTAGTTAAGCACTACTTTGATATTTTTGAAAATATTTCATCACGGAACGAACTTTCTTAACACCCCTTAAAAGGCGTTATTACGCCTTTCCATTCTAAAAGGCGTTAATATTACGCCTTTCCAAAAGGCGTTATTACGTCTTTTAATTTCAATATATGACTAAACACATTTAGCCCAAGCGAGTGGTACAGATGGGGGGGGGGGGGGAGAAATCTTACCTTTGGGACATGAATTTCACAATTTCATATAGGACTAATTTCTCAAAAAATAATTTAAACAGATAGCAAATAGTTTGCCTGCTTTTTTCCAAGAAGAGAGAAAAATATCTTCAAATGACATGAATTTAATACATGGCAAGCAAAGCTCCAAGATACATCTGCCTACTAGTACATCGTATCTTCACAAGTAGAGTGTTGCCTTCTCGAAAGCAAACAGTTGTCAGTGAGATGTGCAGGAATATAGAGAATTGCTTAAATAAAGATTGTTTCAATTAAATCTTTCATATATTTATTAACACAAAATAACACCTTTCCATTTTCCTTTTGAAGTAGGCCAGTAGTACGAGTGCGAATGGGGTACCCCCATCCACGCATACACACTTTTTGGGGAAAAGTCTTGCTACAGTTTAAATATCATGATTAATTGTAGGTTGCTGGGTTCCTGAACATTTTGTTGCAGTTTTAAAACTGTGGCAATTTATTGCATTTAAACAAAGTTTTACGGAGATGTTACCCAGTCGTTTGGTCAGTAGAGTGGTGTGGGGGGGGGGGGGGGGGGGGGGGGGGGGGGTTTAGAAGCACAGGCCTGTTAGATGCAAAATAATAGTTATTAAAAAAAGCGTAATAACCCATTTGGAAAGGCATAATAACGCCTTTTAGAATGGGGTTAAAACGCTTTTTGGAAAGGCATAATAACGCCTTTTAGAAAGGCATAATAACGCCTTTTAGAAAGGCGTTATAACTCCTTTTAAAAAGGTGTAATAACGCCTTTTTAAAAGGCGTAACGCCTTTTTAAAAGGCGTAATAACGCCTTTTGGAAAGGCATAATAATGCCTTTTAGAAAGGCATAATAACGCCTTATAGAAAGGCATAATAACGCCTTTTAAAAAGGCGTTAAAACGCCTTTTGGAAAGGCGTTATAACGCCTTTTTGAATGTAAAGGCGTAATAACGCCTTTTGGAAAGGCGTAATAAAACCTTTTAAAAAATTAAGGCGTTATAACGCCTTTTGGAAAGGCGTAATAACACCTTTTAAAAAAGGCGTTATAACGCCTTTTGGAATGGAAATGCGTAATAACGTCTTTTAGAAAGGAGTTATAACGCCTTTTTTCGCGTTATTACGCCTTTTCAAAAGGCGTTATAACGCCTTTTAAAATTTTTTTCTCTTTAGAGTGATCCTAAAAGGCTTTCGTATATACATTGACCTACAGGAAGTTTAGGAATATATCAGGGTGACGAGCATTTGATTTTGACGAGAAGTGGATTAATTAATGATTTATGATCAAACTGAAATGTGCTTTTGTTAGCCCCCCCCCCCCCAACCCCCCAATAAAAGATGAAGATGAAGAAGAGGCTGTTTGTCTCAATGAAATAAATACAACATCACCTAACTATCCCTAGAAAGACAATACCGTAAAAAAACAAGAAAAAAGGACCGTAACAATATTCTAAGTGAACAGCCACAATAACATTTAAAACAACACAAAAAATGACACCCCCCCCCAAAAAAAAAACTGCTAAGTAGGGAGGGGTTAAAATCTTCCTTTAATTTGTATGCAAGTTATTTTCTTTTATTTACATGATACAAACTTCCACCTAGTACAAGTATACTGTCACAAAAAGGTGAGTTACCTGTCAAATAAAAAGTTTATTTTCACCGTTCGAAAGAAAGGGGCCGTCTACCCTCCCTTTCCTGTGTTTCCTTCTATTTATCTATTTATTTAATTAATTAATTAATTAATTAATTAATTTATTTATTTATTTATTTATTTATTTATTTATTTATTTATCTACTTACTTACTTACTTACTTACCTACTTATTTATTTATTTATTTATTTAATTATTTAAATAACAGTTTGCTTGAATATGTGGAAATAAATTTTATAATTTTATCAAAAATCAATTTTAGATTTTTTAATAAATCATAACCATTAAAATATCATAAAAACATAATTAGCAAAATTTTATTTGAAACCTCAATCCTTTGCAACACTTGAAAACCCAAAACTCCAAAGCATTTGATAATAGCAAGAAAGCAGAGCTGTGTGTTTATCTTTCAAAATTTTAATTGATATATTCATTTTTATTTTTTTTTTTTAGATTGATTTCCTATATCTATAATCAAATTTAATTGTTTTAAACTTAAAAAAAAAATTAAAAAAATTAGTCACTGATTGTATGATTCACCTCATCCGTGTTTCATTGGCCAACTCATTCCGTTAATTAGTCTACCCATAGTGAAAAACGGAAGTGAAGTAAAAGACATTTTGGAAACGAGGAACCAAAACAAGACAGAAACAAAATGAGAACAAAAGGTCAGTCGGGGATCCCCGACATGTACAAGTGCTGCTTCTGCTGCCATGTCAAGACTGGGACGCTGTTTTATGGGCTCTTTCAGCTGGTAATAATTAATATGTAGCCGACATTGGATAGATTTATTATAATGATGTCATACAATCACAATGGCGGTTGGGCTGTTGTTATTTTGTTACCGTATCATACGTTTCAGATTATGACAAGATATACCATGTCGCTAGTTACCTCTGAGAACTTTTTGATGCATTTGTTTTATGTATTTATTAATTTTTGATGTCGTCACAATGTGAACATCAAACTATCTGAGCATCATGTGATCAAAAGGCCTTTGAAATGAAATGGAAAGTGAAACGGATGTGAGCATAATTAAACAGGTCCGGCACAATCTCTTGATTAAGAATAGCTAAGTTAAGCTATTTTATCACACTTTTTTTCAAATGTTTCATTTTTTCAGCATGTGCAAAAAGTTTCACTGTGGTGCAGTGGAAATATTAAACTTTTGAACTCTTCTGATACAATGCATGTAAAAATCACTCACCAAATTGTGTCTCCTTGAGAGACTTGTACTCAAAGTTTTCAAAGTTTTGGGGCTATTGTTAAGTAATCACAGAGTTATTTCTTGAATTAAATTATAAAGGGGGTCAGTTATGGCCAACAGGATAATTGATAAATAACAGTTCAGCACAATGAGTAGCAATTGTACTAATCCACACCTCATCACACTCAATTAGTCAATATAGTGCACATTTACTCAAACAATGGAAATTTATCTTTTGCTTAAAAGTATTCAACAGCTGCAATATATGATTTGGGTTGTATTTTTGATAGCTCATAGTATGAGTATGAATAGTCAAATACTTGCGACTTTTAATTGCTTATTTCTTAAAAATCGTTTTTGTGAAAAACTGGGTATAAATAACTTTATTAAGCTATTTTAAATAGCTTAATAAGCTATATAGCTTTTTAAAGTTTTATAGTTTAATCAAGAGATTGTGCTGGACCTGTAAACTAGCTATAGTAAACTCGTATGGAAGAAGAAGAAGAACTATGCATAAAGCAGACACAATTCAGAATAACTTGCATGGAGTTGCAGTATGTAATCATGTTGACTACTGATTGTAGATTTGCCATTTATTCCTGATCGGGGGACTTATTTTCGCCTCCATTCACCCTGAAGTCCTACAGGAACACGCCAGTAAGTGCACAGACGTGGAGATTGATACAACATTGAAAAATGATCACATCGAGACACAGGAGGAAATCTTCATCAGCAGAAAGATGAAAAGAGGTTAGAAAACTTCACTTATTTTCAGATTTTGATTTTGTTTGAATTGGTATTTTTAAAATTAAATTAATTACATTATAATGTATAATTAACAGCAGTTATACAATGTGGATATCTTTAAACCAATACTGGTGAAAAAATAATTTAATTTCTTTATGGTAAAAAATCTTGTAACAGAAAAGTGCTAACATAATTTATTTGGGAACTTTATTAGAATCACCAGAATTACTCAAATTTTTGATAATCTGCGCTTTTTCAGTAACTAAATTCAAAGCAAGGCAGCAGTCTAAAATTCCAAATGATTGTTTACATATAATTTATTTAATGTGTGGAAAATAGTGATATTTAAGTAAAAAAATATATTTTTGACTGTAGTGGAAATTATTTAACTTGTTTTTTTTTTCACAAAAGACAAATATTAGATTTTTCAACATTGTTGCGAGTCTTTTGTATTAAAGATAACATTAGAATGTTGCTTTTTTTCCAGAGGACTTTGACCTGGCCTTCATCATCTGTCTGTGTATGCTGACCATTGTTCTCTTCCTGCTCTATGGAGTCCTCAGGGTCAGTTACAGGGCTTAAAGCCATAGATAAACTTAACAAATTTATTTTATTTTTACAAAACAGAATGGTACAGTAAAACTCGTTTAGTAAGAACATGAATATATCAAAGTTATCTTGGATCTCCAGCTATTTAAATTTAACAAATTTCTTACTCGGAAATTACAAACTCCGGATATAGCGAAGTAATTTCGTTATAACCAAGATTAACTGTGTATGAAGCACAAATCACAACTGCTCTGATTAATGTTGTACTGTTTCAGAATCGTCCTGGGTACATCTTGCCTTTCTTCTGTCTGCAAGTGTTTGACTTCTGTCTGAGCTGTCTGACAGTGGTAGGGTACCTCAGTTACTCCCCCAACATCAAAATCTGGCTCAGGACACAGGGACTGGTTAGTGAACATTTTCTTCCGGATATTAGTATTTATTGATCTATAGGCTATGTTTATGTATTGTAATGTGAAATTGCCAATGTACACACTCCTCTATAATTTCTTTTAAAATAATAAAAAATGAGCCCAGGAAGAGCTTTCTTATACATATTTCTGCAGCATATCGTCTGATGGTCTATTAAATTTCATTCTTGTGTATTTAGCTGTTGATTGTGTAATGTATTTAATTTCATTCCTGTGTATTAAGCTTTTGATATAAATGTCTTGTATAATTTCAGTCCTGCGTTCCCGGTCTGTTGATTGTATATTGTATAATTTCATTCCTGTGTATTAAGCTTTTTGTCATGTTTTGTATATTTTTTCAGTCCTGCGTACCCGGTCTGAAGCACCTGATGGACATGGACTCCCAGTGGCTGATGCTCCTCTGTCTTCTGGCCTTTGTCCTCTTCCTCTCAATGAAGGTAAAGAATTGTTGCTCAGGTTCAACAATAGGCTAATAATTTTACTGCAGCTAAAACCAACAAAAATAAAACTATCTGTTATTAGAATAGAAGTCTCTTTCAGATCAGCCTAAGTAAGGGGTATTTAATCTGTACATGAATTATTTGATTCTAGGCTTACCTGATTGGAATGGTGTGGAGCTGTTACAACTACTTGAAATCCAGAAACATCAGCTGTAACCAGATCAGAGAGTACTCGGTGGACCCAGACTCAAAGGTAAATAACTCAGTGAGAGGTTACACAAGTAAATATCTCAGTGAGATGTTATACAGGTAAATAAATCAGTGAGATGTTATACAGGTAAATATCTCAGTGAGATGTTATACAGGTAAATATCTCAGTGAGATGTTATACAGGTAAATAAATCAGTGAGATGTTACACAGGTATGTCCGTCTCAGAGGTCATGCATCTCAAGGAAACTGTGTCTTTCAAAAGTAAATCTCACAAAAATAATATCTACTCTTAGAGAAATGGCTCATTAGGAATCTGAAAAATCATAAACACAGATTTATTTAAAAAAGTTTATGTTCATGCAATCATTAGCTCTAGAGGTAGTAACATTTCTGTCTTTATACACTTGAACATAAAATTCAGCATATGATAAGGGAAATAATTGAGATTTCACATGACCATATTTATTCTGTCAAGGACTTCTGACTAATGCATTATGTATAGTCCATCCAGATAGCTATATAAACACTAGAACAACTTCCTATTTACTTGAGTGATTTTTTTTTTCAATCACAGATTCTGCTGCCCCCAAAGTATGAAGAGGCCATGAGAAGCGGGGAGGGTCTGCCCCCACCCTACACAGCTTAAAGTGTGCGATCCTTGTAAGAATAGGTCACTAATGGAGACGTCAAGACAATAAGTACAATGTCGTTCTTCTGTTTACAGACTTTTCCTTCCTTATTGATATGTCACGTCTAATAACAACATTGCATAATGTATAAATATAGTAACATTTATGATGGGACAGAAATGATAATTTATTATTAATTTTTATTATGATGTAAAATAAACATTGTGCACTTTTGTAAGAACTGGGATATAATTTAGTGAAAGTTTTAAAGGAGAAGAATTTTAACTGTTTACCAATTTTGGTATTTTAATTTAATGTCAGACCCAAGCTTTGATATGATGTACATATATGTAGATTTATCTTTTTAGCTGTCTTGTTACAAGCGTTTAGTTGATGTTGCCCACTTGTACAATTTTATCATGAGTATCTCAAAAAATCTGTTGGACCCAATGCTTAGTAGTAATATGTTGGCCTTACTAGATTTAAATGATATTTATGTATGACTTGGACAATATCAACTGAAGTTTTGTGTTTTATGTATTTCATCATATCATCATTATAAGTTAACAGGATTTTATAGTAGAGGTGATAGTGTAATGGTTTACTGGTTCTCTGCTCCCCATAGACAGAGAACCTGTTATTGTATACATCTGAGGCCTGTGTAACAGAACAAGTGCTCATGAACATTTCTATTGGAGGTACATGTATAAGGAATTTTGGCGAGTGCTCGCGAAAGTTCTCTCTGTTGAACAGGCCTCAGGTCTTAATGAATAATACATCAAAGTCTGAAGATCAGATTCATATGGGAACTGTAAAATGAGCAGTCACTATTGATATCTGCATAAAACAGGTGTATGTTCTAATTGTAAAATGTTGTCGAGTCTCCAAAGAGACTATAGGACTGTGTACAGTGGAGCCTCATTTATCTGGATGCTGTGGTTCCTAGTTAATTTGTCTGGGTATGTGAAACGTCTGGATACCTGAATTAAAAAATTCTGTGCTGATGAAATATCGTACGGATACTGAAGCCTCTGGATATCTGAAGGTCCACTGTATTCATGTTTTAATCATGTGCAGTCATCCTGTAATTGTAATTCACGTGTGGAATTTTATGTTATTTGTCTCCAATGAATTTTATCAACTTCATTAAATTATTCATTGAAAGCAAGTAAGAATGCCCTAGGCTGTTAAGATTACTCATGTAGGGAATCCAGGTCAAAGTTCATATTAATAATCAAAATATCTTGGATATCTTTTCAATTAACAACAAAAGATAGACATGAAGTCACATGTTCCTTATTCAGAAAGTAAAATTGTTCAGTTTTGGGATACATATCTTCTAAAATGATGTTTTAAGATCTTTTTGGGATCCTGACACAGATGTACTATAAACATGGTCATATTTACAAATGGGAAAATGGAAGATATTCTTATTTTTCAAACAATCAGAGGCAAAACTTAGATAGTTAATTAGAATTGAATTCTAATGAAGACATTAGCTATGATTAGGACAATGATGAGGACAATAGCTAATTGTAAAATTCTTTGATATTTTCAAATTGTCAGTTACCATGTTTACAGAGATCAATTTTATGTGATATGAGGATGGTGCTTTTGGGTAAGCTTGTTGATGGGTTTTAATCATTCATGTGTAAGGCTTTTTCCTTTCAATAAAATTCATCCAAAAATCCAGACTTTTGTTGTTTGAAAGTACAGTAAAATGTGTACAAAAATCTAAGGATGGACATTTTGCTTCCATATATATATATATATATATATATATATATATATATATATATATATATATATATATATATATATATATATATATATATATAATTCCTTGTATATGTTCAGTTTACAGTGTGTTTGGACGTCACGGGGAAGTAAATATCACTCAGTTGTAAGTGTGAATGCTTTATAAGTTGTTCACCTTATCCCGGTTTTGCTGTGTATTTCACAGACTCTCTACAAGTAAAGATGAATATGGTGGCATAATTCTGCCCTTCTGTAAACAGGTAAAATGATGTACTACCATGACATACAAGTTACCAATCTCTTTCGAGAGTCTAATTTTAATGTTGGTAATCTTGCTTACTAGCACCATCATACAAGCAGAAAGCAACATGATAATGTTGACATGCAACTTAATTATATCAACATGTGTCTTTGCTATCTCGAACTTCATGGAGCTGAGAAAAAACTTTAAGATATCCGAGGATTCAAGATATCGAGGGTAAAATACTTAAAGAATATGTGGTTGGGAGATATCCATGGTATTTGAGATATCGGAGTTCGAAATACCGAAGTTCAACTGTATATACCTTGCACATTAAATGAATAGGTAATGTCAACATAATTCTGTTACATTGTGCATCGAGATTCTCCACAACAGTCAATTCCAGCTGACTGTGAGTGTCAATGTGTAGAACTTAGAAATGATGATTAGGCTTGAGAGTCCATAGAACAAAACCTTAGCCAACCTGTTACTAATACAGAGAATGGTTGAGTGACAAGTCATACAACTGTATTCAATATTGTACAGGTAATTGTAATTGCACCCGGTATTAATTAGATTTTAATCCTAAGACCTTGTTCAATGTTACAGTTTTGAACAAAAAGATATTGCCCATGGGCATCTTCTTCCCAAACACCATAAGTTCAAGAAATTAAAACACATATTTTTAAAAATAAAAACAATAAGTTAGTCAATTTAAAAATACAATATCTCATTTTAAATGAAATTACAACTGATTTAAAATCCAGATAACTTTGTACATCATTGAAAACTTAAAATTTGTTTCCAGTCTGCTTTTTGCTGTATTGCAATACATTCTTTTTGTGTTTTGGTACATAGATAGAAACTTCAACATTATCAATATTATGACCAAATCAAGGTCTATTAACAGTCCTTCAAAATGGTTTCCTATCTGCCCTTGAATATTATTCCCTTTGTCTAACTTCAAGGCACAAATCTATAAAAAGTGTGCATATATGCACCATTAATACAGTTCTCATTTGATTTGAAATACATGTACAAGCAATTTATAAGCCTTTTATCAATCTTTAAATCTGAGGAATGTTTTTCAGTCTAGATCTTCAAATAGTTCTAGGCTCATTGGCTAAACGTCCCATTTCTTAGTTATAGAATGGGATGTAAGTGATGGCTACATCCCCCCTCTCAGTTATAGAATGGGTTGTACGTGACCCAGTGAGCGGACTGCTGGTTTTTAGCCTTGGTACTGGAGGTGAACAGAGACTTGTAGGTGGAGCTGGCCTTGGGGTCCTTCTGAATGCTGGTGTGGGTCACAAGTTTGTCCTTGGGTCCCCCTGAAGCTTCTCTGGAAGATGTCTTGGTAGAGGACTTGTCTGTTTTAGCTTTCTTTGCATCTGAAACCATATTAAAAGAAGTCTATATTAATTTTAAATAGCAAATATTTATTTAATGACACATGACTTACAAAGGTTTTGAACTTTATCGTGAATCAATATAGAACTACATGTATGTACATGTACCTCCATATATACTTTGTGTGTGTGTGCTCAGAACACATGACTCCCTTGTCTTTCTCTGTGAAATATAACAAGAGGCCCATGGGCCTTATAGGTCACCTGAGTATCATGCAACAACTTTCCATCAATTGAATTTGATTCATGTTTTAATCTAGAAGCCATGAAATTCACAATTTTGAAAGAGGCACCATTGCTTATCATAATTATGCACTCAGCATACTTACTGTAAACCAACTTTTATTCGCGTGCGAGAAATTTTCGCGAAGTTCGCGAGAGCCTCGTCATCGCGAATATTTCTCGCCGCGAACTGGTCCTGAAGTTTTATGGTTCTATTTCCAACAGATCAAAAAAGGCATTGATCGCGAAAATTAATCGTCGCAAACTAGATTATCCCTGGTAAATCGCGAAATAAAGTCTTCGCGAATAAAAGTTGGTTTACAGTACTTTGGTTAGTAATACCCAGAGGTACGTACATGTAGATCACAGTAACAAAGAGAAAATGCATTTCCACTTTATCATTATCAGTTGTGCACCCCATCCCACAGGAACCACTGACCCTGGGGCCACATCTTCAAAATTTTGGAAATTTTATAAATTTTATTTCACCATGTTGTTGATTAATACCAAAGTGCAGATTTCAAAGCATTAAATCATTTTCAGACCCCCTCCCCCACCCAAGTACCTCTGTCCCAGGGGCCAGGAAATTAAGCATTTTTGGAAAAAGCAGCGTTCTTCGTCATAAATATATACTAAGATCATTGCCATAATACCCAGGATCAAAGGAAAAGATTTTCAAAGAATTTATGCATTTTCACTATATAAACATTAGAGCCCCGCCCTAACACAATAAGCTCTGACCCAGGGGCCCTGAAATTCACAAATCTCAAAGAGGCATCCTTCCTCCTCATAACTATGTACATAGTTCATTGGTTTAATACCCAGGTGCAGAAAAGAAGATTTTTAAAGAGTTTATTATGCATTTTTACTATATAAACAATAGAGCCCCACCCTAACACCAGAACCCCTGACCCTTGGGCCATAAAATTCACAACTGTGGAAGAGTCACTCTTACTCATCATAACTATGTACTTAGTTAGTTTATTTAATACCCAGGAGCAGAGAACAAGATTTTCAAAGAAATAATGCATTTTCACTATATAATCAATAGAACCCCGCCCTAACACTGGAACCCCTGACCCTGGGGCCATAAACTTCATAATTTAAGAAGAGGCAGCCTTATTCACCAAAACTATGCACTTGGTTAGTTTATTTAATGCCCAGGAGCAGAAAAGAAGAATATCAAAGAATTATTGCAATTTCACTACAATAATCTATATGGCCCCACCCTAGCACTAGAACCCCTGACCCTGGGGCCATTAGATTCAAAATTTTGGAAGAGGCAGTCATTTTCAACTCAACTATGCACTTGGTTACTGTAGATCACTTATTTTTCGCGACACCTTATTTTCGCGAGATAGTCATTGACTCTATATTAGCGAGACAAAATTTTCACGAATTGTGGTCACTTTTCTACATAATCTTCAGGAATTCTATTATACGCGAGAATGAAATTTTCGCGAGCACACCGTCTCGCGTAATTACGCGAAAATAAAGTTCTCGCGAATAAAAAGTGATTTACAGTAGTTTATTTAATGCCCGCAAACAGAAAAGAAGAATATCAAAGAATTATTGCAATTTCACTATAATAATCTATATGGCCCCGCCCTAGCACTAGAACCCCTGACCCTGGGGTCATTAAATTCAAAATTTGGGAAGAGGCAGTCATTTTCAAGTCAACTATGCACTTGGTTAGTTTATATGATGCCCAGGAGCAGAAAAGAAGAATTTCAAAGAAATAATGCATTTTCACTATATAACCTATTTAGCCCCACCCTAGCACTAGAACCCCTGACCCTGGGGCCATGAATTTCACAATTTTGGTAGAGGACTTAATGCTGATTACAATCATGCCAACAGTTTGACTGCTTGATGTCCAGGAGTAAAGAAGAAGATTTTTAAAGATTGCACTAATTTTAGTGGTTTTTGCCCCACCCATCAGGCCCCAGGGGGGCAGGGACCATGAAATTCACAATTTTTGTTCCCCTTCACCTATAGATGCTATATGCCAAATTTGGTTGAAATTGGATCAGTGGTTTCAGAGAAGAAGCTGAAAATGTTCAAATGTTAACGCACGACGGACGACGAACGAAAACAGATAGCAATAGGTCACCCGAGTTTACTCAGGTGACCTAATTAAGACTTACCTGTGACTTTTGATTCAGATTCTGTAGAGTCAGCTTTGTGCTTTTTAGCTTTCTGAAATAAATAAAATTGTCACATAATAATAAAGTTTGTTTTTAATCCAACATGTCTTGGAAATAAATTGTTCTTTAAATACTGTATACAGGGTTATTTTCGCCCTTTTACATTCAGAAACAAGTTTGCCCTGTTTTAAATTCGCCCAGAAAGATTTTTGTTTCAGATATTAAACTGTTTACATTAGATTCGCATGTTTTAAATTTGCCCACTTCCTATGAGGGCGAAAATTTCCCTGTATACAGTACTTCAGTTAAGATCAAGTTTGCATTTCTTTCTGCTTAAACTTTTCAAGGAGTAGCAATCTTTCTTTTTTATTTTTAAGGGGATCCTGATTTCCCATTAAGTTTTGCATACTATTTGCCTAAACACTTGCATACATTGAGCTGATTTCTGGTATACAAGTCTGCCATAATAAGTTATAAATTAAGTTTTCATTTTGTTCTGCTTCACTCATTTTTGATGGAATAACATCCTTTTAATTATTAAGGGATGGCACTTGTTGGTAGCTGGAGGACTAGTACTCTGAGAATGCCTGTTAATTCTGTACCTTTGCCAGTTTGGCCTGTTCCTTTCTGGTCTTCATTCTCTGCTGTAATCGCTCAAACTCCTCATCAGATCCATTTAATGTGATCACATCATCTCGGGAGAACTTACTGTTACACTGTGGAAAAAGAAATAAAAGTAATGATCACATGTAGTCAGTCCAGACCTTTTTTGTTTTGTGTCAGTTTTTAGAATTTGGACCTTTTTTCTTACCTTATGACAAATGCCTGATTTGTGACAATTTTCAGATTTTGGGACTTTTATTCTTACCTTGTGACAGATGTCAGATTTGACTTCTTTGAGAGCTCTGTCAGATAAAACACATCCACAAGACCAGATGAAACTAAACCTGAAATCCACAATGAAATAACCACTTATTAGTCCATGTTAAGCCTACATGTACTGATTTTAATATACTGTAGATCACTAAATTTTCGCGACACCTTATTTTCGCGAGATAGTCATTGACTCTTTATTAGCGAGACATAATTTTCACAAATTGTTGTTTTTCCTCTATATAATCGTAAGGAATACTCTTAAACGCGAGAATTAAATTTTCACGACCTCATTGTCTCACGTAATTACGCGAAAATAAAGTTCTCGCGAATAAAACGTGATTTACAGTATACAGCCAACCATAGAAAATTTTCAGATGGATGAATTCCAGTTAAAGTTCAGTTTACTGAGTACTCTATATGTCACAATGAAACAATCATAAATTTATTTAGTTTAACAATGATGGGAAAAATTTGATAATTAAGAAAACAAAATTTTAATCCTGGGATGACTCCCATACTAAATCATACGACATGTCCCCTAAATCTACCCCTTTTTCTCCCCTTATCAACTTTGTTCTTCAATCTCCTATTTCCTTCTACCCTGTTCACCTACCCGTGTTTTCCGTTCATGGTGATCCCCACTACTGGGCAGATATACTTGGCGTCCTGTGTGTCAATATAGCTGTCTCCTTTCTCACTCTTGGGTCGTCCATATCCTTTGTTTTCTGTCAATTTTAACTCCTTTAAATCCTGAATATAAACCAAGATTTTTTAAACAAATAAATAATTAAAAAATTATGCATATATACTAATAGAAAAGAAAAAATCAGTGACCTTTTGAAAATAAAAGAAATTCAATGCTATTTGAAGATGCTTTCTTAAAAATATGACTTATCATGACTGCTGTTCTTGAAGATATTTTACAGATTTTTCTTAAGTTCCTTAATTAAGTCCTATGTAAAACTTTGATTGCCCAAAGTGGACACACCCTACTCAGGGAGTCATGATTTGAACAAATTTGTATCTACAACATCCTAGAAAGTTTTCACTAAAAGTTTCATTGAAGTGAATGACTTCAAACTATGGTTAGAATAAGATATCCTATCTGAATCTTATGTTTAGTACCTTGAGACCTCGCAGATGTTCAAAGCTTGGGGCACACTCAAATTTAGTCCTGTCAATCAAAAATTCCAACACTGCCTCTTTGTTGTACAACCTGTCAAAACAAAGAAGTTGATGTTCTGTCATATTGTGTCACGGTAAGGAAAGAAATAAGGATATAAATTTATGAAGACAAAAAATTAACATGAAATATTACACATAATTTTGAACATTTTAACATTATAATTACTTTTTTGTATTTAATTATGAGATGTTAAATGACATTTATCTTCAATGAAACAGGTAAAAAAAAAATTCCTTCCTCAATTCAAATTCTTTGAATAAAAAAATCTAGCGTTTACACACCAATAGTTATATAACGGTACTGACTTACCTGCCTAGCTCACATGCCATGATTGGTTCACGAAGAGGCTCCTGTGTTATTGCACAATGTTTCCACTTGGCATCAAGATCAGCAGTTTTATCTTTCTATAATGACATGTAAAGGTTTTATTTATTTGTTTGCTGCAATATTAATTATACACGCATAATAGACTGTACATAAATAAAATATTTAAAATTTTAGCTGGCTACTATCAAAACGCCAAAATTAGCACCCCGCGAAAATAATCCGCTGTACGGTACCAAGTCTTATGGGAAGCACAGCAAGTTGAGTCAAGAACTGCTTGCTCAATGAGCTCTGCTAACTATGATCAGGAAGGAAAACAGGTGATTCATTATCTGTAGTATTTGTAGCAAAAATGTACAATCAGATTTTCTACTCCTGTTTATTTTGCAACATTTACTGCATTCTTTAGAATATTTATCTAAGACAAAAAGCAAAAGTAACCTCAGTGATTTACATACTTTAAATGCAGTATTAGAACAAGTTCCCCCCATCCCCCTAAATATCATAAGCAGTTACCCTCAGGAAGATAAACTCTGAATTCTGAACATATTTTCACTTTTTGTCCTTGATAAATGCCCTAAAGAGCATGTTTAGATTATTATTTGTCTAAAATGTGTATTGTAAAAGCTTATTGGGGTTTAGCTTATCCAGAGGTATTGGGGTTGTAAGGGTAAAAAAAAAATGTACAATTTCCAATTGAAAAACCCTCATTCCTAAATGACTCTGAGTGCCAAGTGAAGGGAGTGAGGTCTAAATTTGAAGCCTTTCTCCAGCATATGGTGACATGTAATAAGAGTAGAATAACTGGGTGTAATGTAAGCGCAGTGTTTTAATTTGTAGGCATGGAAAGGAATGTACTCTACAATGTCTTTCGTCAAAAATTGCACTAGATGTATATTCAACCAAATGCTTGGATGTCACTGTAAGCTCTGCCGAACTCCGTTACGTCATGTGACATCACAGCTAGTCGAGATGTCTCGTGCGACTTGATGTTCAAGTAGCTGATCAATGTTTAGAGTGTGTTTTTTAATAGAGGGCGGAGCCCTCTCACGGGCCCGAAGGGCCCGTGAGAGCGAAGCTCTCCCTATAGGTAACACGTATGTATATGAAAAATAAAAGAAATCTTAGGTAAACTATATGTCAGTTACAATACCTTTGGAACTGAGATTCTTGTCGCCAACATGGCGTCCTGTAAAATGGCGTCATTTTGATTCACGCGCAAATCCTCGTTGTTGATGAGACTTTTATCAAAGTGAACAACATTTAATCTAAGGATAATATGTAGCAGATGTTTTTTACTTAAAATCAAATCCATTTGTAGTCAGATCCTTCCTACTTTCGATTTGATGTTTAGATTTATTTATAGTTCGCGCTAACAAGTATAACGGCATTTGATTGGTCAGAAATTCCCTACGGGTGGCGCTGTCGTCTGCACTATTGAGGAGTGGATCTATCTGTGGCGCCTTTCACCAGAATGTAGAAGGAAAACAATCCTTATTTATTTGTTAATAAAATTTACTAATAACGAATTTCAACAGGATTATTGTCAATACATACAAAGATAGAAATACTGAATTTTTTTAGGCATAGTGCAATTTTTTGTGATGTTTAAAATAAAATACTCCATGCGGGACTCAACAAACTTTTAAAGGTGTGTGGATTTCTTTCTTTTTTTTTTCTCTCTTTTGTATTTTTTTAGGTAACCAAATTGGTTATGAATATCTACTTGTACATAGATATAAAAAATATTTAGCAGATGGAAGTCTGAATCTCATTTTTATAGTGTTTTTTAAAAAATATTTAGAATTTTTGTTTGACATCGATAAAATTAATATTCGAATCAAACTTCTCAGAAGTGTACCCTATTATTCACAAGGTTTGGTTTTGAAATTATATGATAAAAAAAACTAAGTCTTAAATGACAAAGATACCAGAAAAAAAAAAATTTAAATTTTTTTCAATATGATTTTGTTTACGTTAACGTTAGATTTAGAAAATTCTAAAGACTATTTAAATCAAATTTATTTTAACAACATCAGCAAAAAAAAAAAACACAACACACACACACAAAAACACAAAAAACTGAAAAGTGAAATATAATATTTTCATTAAAATAAAGAAAATAATCAATATGATTAATGGGTTACCAATTAATGTAAAATAAAAAGAGATAAATAAAAAGAAACTTAAAAAAGATATATCACAACAGGGACCTAATAAATGTCCCTGATCATGCATCCGTTGCAAATTTTTTTTTCGTATAAAAGTTGTGATGCTATTATATTTTCAACCCTTGTGATAGTTACACAGTCAAATGTTGGTCTGATGATTAGATTCATCCAGGAAGTAGATCATCTGTCTGTAGTTTGGGTCTTCTGATCTGGTCTTCACAATATTGTTCTTACTTTCGATGATGTCATAACTATGTAATGGGAGTCTAACAGTTGAGAAATGACTTTAGGTTTTCTAGATCAGTGTTGTTAAATAAATGAATTAAGAAATGAAAGACAAAGAAATGAATGATCAGAAAAGTTTATGAGTTGCTTATTGTAGGATATATTTGGGAACAAAGTTTGAGGTGTTGTTGGGCCGAGGTGTCTCACATTTCTTGGGCCTCGGTACGTTGCATCCATTACTGGTCCAATGCATGCCACTCTCTTTCCCCATTACAGTTTTTCGACTTTTAGTGCTCTGGCTAGACAACCCTTTTTCTCATGATAAAATTAATCTTAGTAAGTTAGTTCTCAGATTTATTAAACCCTTAGATTGAATTACATGTATTTGAATAAAAAATTATTATAGGTATTCTGTAGTTCAGACTTCAGAGAAAGTTTTTTTTTCAAAGGAAATCAGTTCTTTGTCATGATTTTCTCATCTGCATCATCAGAAACCCACGGGTGATCTCGTCTTTACTTGTGATAAGTAAAGACGAGATCACCCGTGTGTATCCGACGATGGATTTTCTGACAATGACGTACAATTTCAGAATTAACTGATTTATCATTAAACAATAAAAAGGTAGCAATTTTCTCTTCATTGCTCCGCCCTCACTAACGGTCACACCGTCTAACATATTACATGTATAATTACGCTAGACCCAATGGGCAAACAGTAAAACATATTACTTTATTATATTAAATAATTTCATTGGGAAGTTGTTTTTAATAAAATTGAGCCAAAACAATTAACATTTTGCCATTTTGCAATGTTTTTGAGTATTGAAAAGCTTATAATTCCAACTGTGAGTTCTTCCTCGCATTGACAAGGATCGTGTGTGTTAAAGGGTTTTAATGTTGTAGCTTTACAAAGGATATTATTGAAAAAAATCACGGAATGTAAAGATTTGGACCTGGGGACGTACAACAACAATGTCTCTGATAACAACAACAAACAATATTCAACACAGTTTGAAACAAACTCCTCATTACCTGTTCTGGCTTTTTCTTCGTCCTGACAAGTTCATCCCTCTTAGGTATCGTACCGCCATCACATCCCATTTTGATCTAAAATGTCAAAATTTATACTGAGCTCTAAATGTTTGCTATCCACTCTACTACGAACGTGACGTAATTTTCTAAATGTACAAGTAGTCGTGCATAATATGTTTCGAAATTCTAAAACTTTCAAAAATAAACGAAAACAAAAAACTTTCTAATCTCTATTAGCTTAGTAAAAAGAAAACAAATTAAATTATTTCTATTTACAAAGAAAAAAATAAAAGGTTAGAAACAGTTTTTTTTTTTTTACCAAATTAGGGCAAGCGGTATATCTAGTCTTCCCGACTCCCGACGCCCGACTCCCGACGGTCCCGGATTTGGGATTTTTAGCAATTTCTTTTTTACCGGTGCACAGATTTTATTCAAACTTTTCAGGCACATTTTCTTGGTTTATATAAATTCATTAGTGCATAAAAACATTAGGAAACTTGTCTTTTTATTACTGAATCAGCAGTATCACCTGCCAAAAAGCGGTAAATCTAGTACTCTGTTATAAATGTTAAAACCAAAAACGGATACTGGTGTTTTCGTAGAATCGCGATTAAAACAACAAAATGAAGAATATATTTTTTTAACAAATAACTGGAAAACCTCATTTAAATGCTAGATAATTTGTACGCACTGAAACTCACATATTTTATTTTTGTACGCACTGAAACTCACATATTTCATTTTTTTTAAATTAAGAGTTATACTTATTAATTATCGATACATAGCGATGAGCTGAGACGTGAGGTTTCGTAGATCATAATATTGATATTATTTGGGAAGATATTTCTTCTTTTAAAAAGATAGAATTAGTGTTTAAGTGAAATTGAAGGTGTTAAAAAAGTATGAACAATTTAATTTTATAGATTCCAACATCAAAATGACTTTTAAAGTCGGGTTCCTTTTAAACCTGTTAATGAAGAAGATAATCACTTATTATAAAAGCTTGGGTTAAAAAATTAATTTCCTAAACACCTGGCTGATACAATGAAAGTGGAGAGATATTCTGTCAAATTAAAAAAAAAAGTAATTATGTATTGTAAACTGCTTCTAAATCAAAGCTATTAGTATTAACCATGACTTGTTAACATAACATGTATCCGGGGACAAACCATGGTCCTTAAAATATTACTGGTAATCTGATAACGTTTTTATCATTGTGTAGGTTTTCATACGATAAGTAGAATTTAGAGTTAACTTAAAATCAGTCAACAAAAAGTAAAGTCAAAATAAAAATTAATTAATTAATAAAGGGGGGGGGGGGCTCCGACGTATATATGTCAATGTCGTACGTAGAGCCTGTGAACATAATGTGGCAATGAACGATTTATACAAGGAAAAAAGAAATTATATGGGGGTTTTTAGGCATACAAATTATCTGGTATGTAAATGAGGTTTTCCGCTTATATTTTGAAAAAATTATTATTCATTTTGTTGTTTTTAATCACAATTCTACGAAAACATCGGTGTCCGTTTTTGGTTTTAACATTTATAACAGAGTACTAGATTTACCGCTTTTTGGCAGGTGAAACATCTGGTTCAGTAATAAAAAGACAATTTACCTAAAGTTTTTATGCACTAATGAATTCATATAAACCCAGAAAATGTGCCTGAAAAGTTTGAATAAAATCTGTGCACCGGTAAAAAAGAAATTGCTAAAAATCCCAAATCCGGGACCGTCGGGAGTCGGGAGTCGGGCGTCGGGAAGACTAGATATACCGCTTGCCCCAAATTAGGATGAATAGAATATGCACGAACTAGCTAGTAAAGAAAATGACAGCACATCGTTTCGTATTTTATACAATGTATCTAAATACTTAAATTCACATATCATTCAACATTATCATATTGTATATTTACTAAATAAAACGTAATAAATTTCATTATTTATATTGAAGATACTTTCGATGAGACAGAAAAGTTCACGATCCTACCTAAGCAAAGTTTCGGAGAAATTCAAGAGTTTTGCAACGTGACAGGTAAATACAAGACAACCAACCAGGAAGAGAAATCTCTGTCCTTTATAAAATATTGTAACTTTTATCCATGGTTTCTCTGACATGTTTCATAAATTAAAAATATCTTAAACTGAATAAACCACTCTGTTGTTCACGACTGGCTCGGGCCATCACATCTTTCGTTGGCGTTTCATGAACATTCACTGGCTTGTATCATAGTTTACTTGTTTTTGTTGTTTCACGTCCCAGTTGAGAATTTTTAACTCATATGGATACGCCACCACTTGCCAATAGAAGGCTGCGAATGTATATACCTTAACTTGCACTCAGGGCCATTGAGCAAAGGGGGGTCTTTTTGTGCGAAAACCTTCGGTGACATGGGATCACTATTTTTAGATGATTTCATGTGAAGGACTCTTCTTCAAGTCCTGCAGTAGATTCAGACCTGTTACATACATAAGGATCAGCTCCTTTCTCTGAGATTCTAGAGCAGGTTCTCTAACCATTGCGCCACATATCATATACTTTTAACTAAAGTTTTAAAAAAAAAAATTATACAAACCCTTTCATGCCATTGCAGAGATGTTTAAGAGGTTATACACAATATTCAACAGTCTCTATGTAAGTCAAAAGATTATGAAGGCATAGCTAGCTATTGTAAAGTACATGTAATGGCACACGAAAACAGGGTATGAAACAGGATCAAAGATTATATTATTGTTTCTTCATAAACATGATAAAAGAATTAACTTTTGAGTGTAATACATACATGTATATGTGATCATTTAAATAATTAAGTTGTTTTGATTGACAGCTCTGAGGGCTGCACTATGGGAGACCGCTGTATTTTGGTGACAGGAGGGGCGGGGTTTGTAGGAACCCACTCTGTGATAGAGCTGATAGAGGCGGGCTATTCCGTGGTTGTGCTGGATAACCTTGCTAATGCTAGCATGGGTCAGTTGTTCTCATTACATTAATTCCCTTAAAATAAAACTTTAATCAATGATAAGTTTTTGAATTTTTATGATTTTAAATTTCATTTGTTGTGAAATAAAATGAATCCATAAGATTTTTAGAAAATGTATTTATTGTATTATGAAAGATAATATTGTGTTTCCTTTCATATGATTTAAAATGATTGTTTTAACTTGTTTGATAATAAATGGTAGTGTTTTATATTTGCTGCAGAATTTTATTTCTAGTGCATCAAGCCAATTTTAATGTAAGAATTATTGCATCACTTCAGAAAGCATCAAACGAGTTGAAGAGATTACAGGGAAATCTATCCCTAGTTACAGTGTCGACCTCCTAGACAGGACAGCTTTGTCAGATTTATTTAGTAAAGTGAGTCCTTTATTTATTAAAGAGATATTTATTCCGTTAACAGGGTAAGCTATGCAAGTAATTATTTAGAAACATAAAACTCAGAGAAAACAAACCTCATTATTAAGATGACTGAATAAAATTTGCTTTAAATTAAAGAATTTGATTCTTACCTCTTTAGTTCAATCTAGAAATGTTGTTTTTGAAATAACTGTACTGGGGGTAAATCAAATTATTACTATTCTCCAGTAAAAAACTTGTTTTCTGATTTCCAGCATAAGTTCAGCAGCGTCATCCATTTTGCCGGTCTTAAGGCGGTCGGGGAATCTTGTCAGTTACCGCTACTGTATTATAAAAACAACATTGGAGGGACAATCAATCTTCTGGAGGTTTGTTTCTGTGTGGGGGGGGGGGGGCAATGTTTACCTAGATATGGGCATGAAGGGGGTGGAATCAAAGGGAGAAAAATATGTAGGAGCTAGCTTATGAGAACTTTTGGATGTGCATTATTCAATTTGTTTGCACACACTGTTGCAAATATGAGACTACTTCTTCCAAAAAATAATGATTCTTTCCTTAAATATAGTGCTTTAAAAAATATACATAAATTACAGCAGAATTTTAATTCGGTGGATGATTTAAGGTTCCTTCTTGTAGTTTACTATTACTGTTAGTGTAATGTTACAATAAATTGCAATGCAGTGTCTATTTATGATGGTGGTATAATAAGATTCCTAGAACCTGTTCCTGTTGTCTTTGCTGACTCCCTGTATTTGTCTTTAGGTGATGAAAGAGAAAGGAGTAAAGAACTTGATTTTCTCCAGTTCAGCTACGGTGTACGGCAGTCCGCAGTATTTACCAATTGATGAGAAGCATCCAGTAGGAGGCTGCACTAATCCGTATGGAAAAACCAAATATTTTATCGAAGAAATCCTGAGAGACCTGCATAAAGCTGAGCCAGTAAGTAGAAATTTACAATTTAATGCAGGATATAAATCTCAAATGCAGAGAAAATTAAGTAATGTATAGGGTAGAAAAATGAAATGTGCAAAGATTTAGGCCTATAGTCAGAGATACAGCTACATGTAGGATCATGTTAGGAAACTCAAATGTACAGAAATGTAAAGCTAGTAGCATTGAAGAATCTCAAATATAGAGAAATTTACAGCTAGGGTAAAGGTTATAAGAAAAACTCAAATTTCCAGAAATTTATAGTTAAGGTCGAAAATTCAAATTTTTGAAAAAAGGTTAAAGTTAGGAACATGATGAAGAAAGAAAAGTTTTGGGAAAAAACTATAAAATGAACTTTAAGCAAATTTCACTTTCACCAAGGTAATTGTCACCCTGTCACATCACAATCAGATGTAATATTTTTCAGATCTAAATGTCAGCTGTACTATTTTGATGTTAAGTGATAATTCGTAGATTTATTATGCTCCATTGACTGTGTTTACCTGTAGGACTGGAACATTATCATGCTGCGATACTTTAATCCTGTCGGAGCACACAAATCAGGGAAGATCGGGGAAGACCCCCAAGGCATTCCAAACAACCTGATGCCATTTATAGCCCAGGTGGCGGTGGGAAAGCGAGCGGAGCTGAGTGTGTACGGCAGCGATTACGACACACCTGATGGAACAGGTGCTGCCCCCTGGTAGAACGCCAGGTCTCATGATTACAGAGTGCTTTTCTGCTTGTGTAGGCCTCATTCTACTTTTAAATAGTTTTCTGCTTTTATCTTTAACCTTTTTGAAAGATTTTGCATGAAGAAAAAACTAAATTTGCATGAGTTCTTGTTGATTTCCAATTTTCTGCATTAGATTTGCTGATTAGAATGCTTTTATATGTTGTGCAAGCTCTTTACGTAATAACTGAATGAAAACAATACTAGCAAAATTTGTAAACATTTGTTACACCCTGGAGACTGTTACTGCACCAAGGAAAATTTCAAATCAGAAACTGCTTTATTTCTAGTTAAGTTTTGGTAATGTAACATGACAAAATTTTGTAACAAAAAGGAGAAAGATCTTGGCTGTACTGAAAATGTAATACTCAGTCAAAATAAGCACAGTGTACTACATTGTACAAAGAACTACTGTAGATCACTAAATTTTCGCGACACCTTATTTTCACAAGATAGTCATTGACTCTTTGTTGGCGAGACTTAATTTTCACAAATTGTTGTTGTTTTTCCTCTATATAAATGTAAGGAATACTTTTAAACACGAGAATGAAATTTTCGCGAGCTCATTGTCTCGCGTAATTACGCTAAAATTAAGTTCTCGCGAATAAAACGTGATTTACAGTATATGTGGCCCCCAAAAAAGACACATTTTGAAAAATTCTTAAAATGTGCTGAATTCTATAAATTGAATGAGAAATATAAATTTACAGAATATATTATAGTTTCAAAGTAGTTTATTGACAATTTTTGTTTTTATGACATCACAAACTAGTCCAATTTTATATAATTTTTTTAAAAGAGGACAAAATGGACAACATTTCAACAATTTTAGCTTAAAAAAATTATAGAGTGCAAGTTTGCTCAGGAACAATATTTATATTTCATTAATATTATCATTCTTCTCATTATATCAAAATATTGAGCCTGATCAAACCTGAGTTGATCCTTACGTCACAGGTTTGAATCCACTGTGGTACTCGAAGATGATTCTTCGGATGAGACTGTATAAACCAAGATCCCATGTATTTGTAGGTTTTAGCAAAAAATCCCTTACTGCTCAATGGCTATGAGTGCAAAGTATAGGTATAAATTTGCAGCCCTCCTATAGCAAGTGGCGGCATCTCCATATGAGTGAAAAATTCTTGAGGGGGAAGTTAAACAAAGAAAGCATATATTGATATAGCTTATTTAAAACAAATGCATGTTCTGGAGAAAGTCTGAGGATACATTGAGCTTGTTATCTATATCCGTCCATTACTGTTATCTAAAATTTAAAATACTTCAGAAATTCTTATTTTTTCATGGATTGTCATTAAATAAAATATGAATTTATTGATCTATAGAAATGAATTTTGCTCTTTTTAGTTGATACATGTATATGAGCAAAGTTTTCTAGTGGCATTATTTGGTTTTGCTACATGTATTTAAAAAAAAAGGAAAATCTAGTCTGAGCTGCTCAGGTGTACTAGGACAATGAGCAATTGAGCAATACTTTATTTGGATTCATGTTCACTACATATCTGAAATTTCTGTCTATTCTCTACATTATGCACTCATGAGTTTCAGCAAGTGTACCAATTTAAGGAGAAAATCTTTGAAAATGTCTGACTCTTCTTTTTTTCTGTATTTTAAATGGAACAGTTGAAAATTGAATATTGGTAGAAATGTCATTGATACTCACTTCATGTTTTATAATTTGGACTGATTATGGAGCTAAAAATTCTTATTCAATGTAATTATTACAAAGAAACTAGAACAAAAAAGAATCAGAAAAAATGAGGAACATTGGGAATTTGCAAGTTCATAAAAACTTCCGTTCAATATTTAGACCGTTACAGTAGACAGATGTTACAAGGTTATTGAATATTTGAAATATGATGTCCCAGTAAATGTAGGGTGATAATTGAAGTGTTAACAACATGCCATTTGTTGCATAAGATGAATCTAATATGTGTGGAGGGGACTGATAATTAGGTTATCTGGATAACTTGTAATTGGTAGCTTTTTAGATCATCCATTTGATGTTCACACGTTGCCATTTTCAGTTTTTGCAGTCAGTTTGCCACAGATATTGATTTTTAGTATTAAGTGTATGGAACATGTTTTTATTCACGTAGATGAAAACATTTGCAATGCAATAAGTAAAGGATTAATATATTAAAAGTAGAGTATTTGATTAAACATATAAAAATAATTTACAAGTTTGTAAAATTATCATATGGACCATTGAAATAAATGATAATAATGTAAATTTAAAATACGTTTTAAAGCTGCTAATATATGATGTACACTTGTTTTATTTATGTTTCGCTAATTGAGAAGGAATGTTGTCCTGATCTATTTTCAGGGGTGCGTGATTACATTCATGTTGTGGACTTAGCTCAGGGTCATGTGGCAGCACAGAAAAAAATTGAAACCAATTGTGGATGTAAGGTCAGTGAGAAAAAGAGGTTAAAACAATGAAGTATTAATGTAAGTTGTGTATGAATTTTACATTTCCAGTGTGTATAACCAAAAAAATAGTTTGTTGTTGTTTGTTTAAGTTTTTGAAAAAAAAACGTATCAGTAAGTTTAAAAAAAAAATTAAAAAATTAAATTGAATTTATGAATACAATTTTGGAGATATTGTTATTTTCAGGTGTACAATCTTGGTACAGGAAAAGGTTACTCTGTGTTGGAAATGGACAAAGCTTTTGAGGAAGCCAGTGGCAAACCAGTAAGTGAAGAAGTCAATGGCAAACCGTTAAGTGAAGAACTCAGTTACAAATAGATAAGTGGCAACTGGTAAGGTAAAAAGACCAGTGGCAAACTGGTAAGTAAAGAAGCCATTGGTAAATGAAGAAGTGAATGGCAAACAAGTTACTAAAGAAGTCAATGGCAAACCGTTAAGTGAAGAACTCAGTTACAAATAGATAAGTGGCAACTGGTAAGGTAAAAAGACCAGTGGCAAACTGGTAAGTAAAGAAGCCATTGGCGAACTGGTAAATGAAGAAGTCAATGGCAAACTAGTTAGTGAAGAAGTCAATTGCAAACTAGTAGGTGAAGAAGCCAGTTAGAAACTTGTAAATAAAGAAGCCTATGAAAAACTGATAAGTGAAGGGGCCAATGGAAAACTGGTAAGTGAAGAAGCCATTGACAGACTGTTAAAGCCAGTGGCAAACTGGTAAGTGAAGAGGCCAATGGCAAACGGATAAGTGAAGAAGCCATTGGCAAACTGACAAACTGGTAAGTGAAGAAGCCATTGACAAACTGTTAAAGCCAGTGGCAAACTGGTAAGTGAAGAGGCCAATGGCAAACGGGTAAATGAAGAAGCCATTGGCAAACTGACAAACTGATAAGTGAAGAAGCCATTGACAGACTGTTAAAGCCAGTGGCAAACTGGAAACTTGTGGGAAGTGAAGAAGCCAATGGCAAATGGGTAAGTGAAGAGGTCAGTGGCTAACTGGTAAGTGAGGAAGTCAATGGCAAACTGGTAAGTTTAGAATCAATGGCAATACAGTGAGGTTACATATGTAAAAGCCAGTGACAGACTGTTAACTGAAGACAGAAAAGGCATGAGGCACTGTCAGTGATTGGGCATTCTGTTAGTCAGCTGGGATACTTTACACTCTACTACTGAACAAACCTATCAGTGTTTTATAGTAGTGTGGATAGGTCACAAGCTTAGATTTTCAAATTATATACTTTTCCTGAAGAATAACTCAGAGGATTAAGGATTCATGAATGTCCAAGGTAGAGTGTGTACATTTTTTTTAAATTTCCAGATTCCATACAAGAAAGTGGATCGTCGGCCAGGTGATGTAGCGTCAGTGTACGGGAATGCAGACCTAGCCAAGCAGGAGTTAGGGTGGTCAGCCACTCGTGATCTCAAACAGATGTGTAAGTACGGCATTAGTAAAGGCATTAAAGTCTTACTACTGATTTATCTAAAATTTCAACAAACATGTACAGATTAGTTTTAAAATACCTGGTACATATATTTTGTTTTCATGCTTTTAAATGTAGTAGATTATTTGACATTGACTGTAATTCCACTGATTTCATGATTGAGTTCATTGTTTGACCTCTTTTTACCTGTTTTACCTGTTTACATGTTTCACATTTTTTACCTGTAGCTTTTACCTGTTTACATGTTTTTATCTGTTTTTACCTGTTTTTACCTGTTAACATATTTTACCTGTTAACATGTTTTACCAGTTTTACTTGTTTTATCTGTTACAGGTGAGGACACCTGGAGGTGGCAGTCCTTGAATCCAAATGGTTTTCGAAAATAGACTTTAAGATTAGGAATTAGAATTCACTTACGTGGGATCATGATGCAGCATTAAAGGGCAATATATTAGGAATATAAGAATGATTTATTAATAATGATTTTCACTTGCCAGTCAGGTGTTATTATGAAGGTTGAAATTGTACACCTTAATCTGCCATTTTGATTACTTCTGCCAGTTTTCTACAAATCTAAGAGTGATTGATAGGATTTGTCCAAGCATATTCATCAAGATGAAAAAGAAATATGTCATTTTAAAAAAACACTCTTTTATGCATTTACCCCCAGTTTTCCAGACTGTTGAAGTGCCTGGTTAGGGATTGTTTTCAAAATATTGCTTTCTGTACTAACTGGAGCTTTTATAGACAAAAAATCAAAATACTTTGTTATATACAGAATCTGCAGGGCAGACTGATGAGGTTTAATATATTTAGAAATCTTTTCCATTACATGGATCTCTAGTATCAGTCACAAAAAGGGGCATATAATCCAAAATGGTTGTGTCGTAACTAATGTAATACTTGAATGTGAAATATTTGTTCTCATTAAAATACATTATGTTATTACACTGTGTTTTTATCTGTACCATTTTTCATGAACTTCATTTATCTTGTAAAAGCATTAGATGGTTGATTTGAGAATTGGCACTTTTGAAAAGAATTCACCATCCTAAAACCAATCACCCATAGCCATAATTAGGAAACGTTTTTAGAGGTGGATATGGTACATCATTCATCTGTATTTTAAGAAGAAAAATTATTAAATGAGGAATATTTCTAACATCAAGTCAAAGGAATTCATATTTTTTTTTGTTCACTTAAAATATTGATACAATTTATATAAATTCCAACTCATCTTGTCACATGTGCCCTTGGACCATCAATGATCATATTATATTTAATTGTTATGCTACATCGCAGTGGATGCACAATTTATCTCTCAATACCCAATCGAATATTGAAATTCTGGACAAAATGAGGAATTCAAGAAAATTTCTTAGAGTTGTCTTTCTTGAAGCATTGAATCTTAAACTAGGAAGTAATGTACTTTTCTTTTCTTTTTTTTTTTTTTTTTTTCTTTGTTTTTTGTCAATTTGGGCTTAACCATGTTAACACGGTTTCCTCGCCTCCATTTGAAATCGTAAACAATATAAAACTTTAATGTAGCTAAAAGTGCATCCCCGCACTAATGAGGCGTATACGAGAAACTCGGTTGTTATCAAAGGCCTGCTTATAATTGGATGTAGCGTGTTGAGATCGGGGGAAGATAAAATCGTATGTAATTTAATTAGAAGCCGGGGACACAACACAAGATCTGCACTGAATGCCTATATGTATATAACTCTTGTCTAGAGGAATTCTGTAAAACACAATTTCAAAAGAAGGCATTTTCGTTTCCCCACCATCGAGTCCCTATTGCGTTAGTTTCAGCATTTTCATTTTAACTGCGGTGAAAATTTCGAAACTCGAATATATTTCAATATAATATTTTTAAAGTTATCAATTTATTTGTATTTTTTATTTTTAGATTTCCGGGCTGATGATTATTTGAAAAAAGAAAAGAAAGTTTAAGCCCATCATTAAAGGAGGACATTTTTGATAAAGACCGTGAAAGTTTTAATAATACATTCAGTTTTACCACACCAAATAGAAAACATCAATTTTACAAATTTACGATCGATTATCACAGGTCTATGACGATTTTTTTAAAAATGGAACTTTTCGATTTAAAAAAAAAATGGGTCTGTTTGGAAAATTAAACAGGAAGAGGAAGGGTCTAGATAAATATGTTTTGCAAGTTTACGACCAGCATGTATCTCAGTAGAAAAGATCATGAACATTAGTTTTTTTTTTCTAGGACCACAGTGAAATAAATTTTGATGATTAAAATCCGTAATCTGTACAGGTAATCTGAGTTACCTGTTTTCAATTTCGTTCAGTATTCACTAAAAATATTTTAAATTTTCGATAGAAATTTTCTTTAGATATTAATCGGTGAGACTTATTTGATTTTTCCCCTCTTGAACTTGAATACAAGAGCAAGTCTCCGACAGAGTTTGAATCAACTTTTATCACTTTCTGGCTACAAAAAAGCAAAGAATGAATATCTAGAAAAAGTTGGCATAAAAATGTACTAAAATGCATAAAACGGGGGAATAACTCTGGCATTCATTAGATTTACGTGGATCACGTTTTCTGTTCTCCGGTTTTATTTTCGTAATGACATAAACTAGAATCAGACTTTTACGTGGACAGTAACAACCAAGAAATCCCAAGGAAGTGGTCAATAGTGAACCGACCATGAAAGTGGTCAAAAATAGCCCTGTTCTCCGAGAACATCGACCTATACACGGCACCTCGGCACATGCCTGGTTTATAGAGGGATACGCCTACAGAGAACTGAGTTATGATGGGCAGTGAATGACTCCATTATGTCCGCCTGGCCGTTTGTTGGCGACCACTAGGAGAGATTCCCGCGCATTAATGTCACCAACACAACACCTGACAAATGGCCAGTGAGCCATGACATCCGGCAGTAAAACAGAGATAATGTACACAAGGGGGACGATAAAACTCAGACACTTTTGTCCAAACGGTCTCCCCCGCCCCCCTCTTGTCCGACAGAAACACTTATCCAATATCTCCAACACATCCAGAAACGCTAAACCAGGGACTGGTGTCCAATATTCCCAACATATCCAGAAACGCTAAACACAGGGACTGGGGTCCAATATTTCAAATACATCCAGAAATGCTAAACCCTGGGGCTGGGGTCCAATATTTCAAACACATCCAAATGTACATTACATATGTGCATAAGTTTTTCCATATCATGATGTTTTATGACCCAAATATATTTACCATAGATGATAGAATTGTTGCAGCAATTTCAGGCTTTCCTTGTTACTGAAACATTTTTAGAACCCCTTGATAGGTGCAATTTTTATGTGGTTAATCGATGACAAACAAATTAAGATTTTGATGTTTACATTTTTTTCTATCTGAACGATTTTCTAAGTAAGAGATAGTAGTGGTTGAAATGTACTTTGCAACAGCTGAATCTAGCCCTTTATTTCCAGAATTAGTTCAATACATGTATTATGTATAAGTGTTTTATTTCAGCCTGTACTAAAGTATGATGTTTTAAAGTAAATATTCACGCCCAGTGATATGTACTATTCATTGCTTTACATGACAATTAAATATCATCAGGACTTCTTTGCTTATTTTTAACAAACTGATAAAAACCCAGATAAGTGTGATGTTATCATTACCAGAGGAGACAGTCTATAAAGACATTAACTAGGTCAAACTCTTGGTGTTTCTGTACTAGTGGTTAGACTTATTTACCTTAAATAAACAAAAAAGAAAACAAGCTGTGTTTAGTAAGCACATAATTTTATTTGTCACCAGCCACTGGTGTAGTAAGATTGCGACACCTGAAGATGTCGAGACAAACAACAGATTACATAGACGATACTGTTCACAGTCAAACAGTCCAGTCCAACAGCCATTTTAACAAGTCAGTTTAAAACAGCTCCATTTAAAAGAATAAAAATCTCAATAAAATATACTGCATCTAGAATTTAATATTTGCCCTATGAAGAAATTGACTTCTTGGCAGAGAAGGAATTTCTCTGAAGCTGAAAGTTTTTTAGTTGAGTGTCCCAATACAGTCCTAGACTGTAAACGACACCAGTGATGAAGTAAAATGATATAATGCTGGGTCAATAGAAAAATTTGAATACTAAAAGTCCTCAATCCTGTGAGAACAAACACTCTTCTCTGTCACTCAGACTTCTCACACACTTCTCGCTCAGCAATTGAACTTGTATGACTAGCACTTAATTTGTAGTGTCTTGTGTTTTTTCTTGGATTATATCACATTTTAACGCAGTGATGTTCATGTAAACTCCAAGCACTGCGACATTGCACGATCTGCCATTGTTTCTGTCACATTTCACTGAGCACTATTACTGCAGACGTCTCTTGTCGTCACGGTGACCCTGCAGGTCGACCAATAATGAAAGACATTATACATTGGGTAGCACCTGCCCGGATGGCAGGATTTTGTTTTTTCTGGATTATGCGGTCAGTGCTGACTCAGTCTTGGTGCATGTGGAGGTACACCCCCGAATTATCGTCATGGCCCTCGAACACGGGATAAATGAGCCGAATGTCCAAGTTAGGGTTGTGCTCTTTCAAGGACTCGCGACTGTAATGGTCCACTAGCTCTATCAGTGATGATTTGTCCAGATTTCCTTCCGTAAATCCATAACATCCATTGTTGTTTTGGTATATCTTACAGTGTCCCACCGTACCATTGCACCTGCAAGAAATATTACAACATACTTATAAAGAGCCGTTTCAGATAATATTTTGTAAAATACATGTATCACATTATAGAATGAGCTGATTTACAGGTCAGTCGTACTCACATTATAGACAGAGCATGCTTGCTAGACTGGTCCCCGTCAGTTCGCGGTCGGATGAGGAAGGTTCCATCGCGCTGATTCCGCAGCAGGTTCTCGGCGTCGTGTCTGCTCACCTCCACGTACCACAAGTTCATCTTCTTGGTGTTCATGCCGACCTCTTTGCGATTGGAGGGCTGGTTCTCCAGGATATCGTCCAGACTCTCCATTGATATGCCGTTCTCCTGCAGAAGTTTGCGGATCTGCTCTCGCTGTTTGTGCAGTCTCTTGATTTCCGGTCTAAGACTGTTCATGTCACTGATTAAGGAGCGATTCAACACTGTCTTTTTGTTGATGTCTATCTCTAAAGCCTGTTTGCTCTCTTGTATACTTAACCATCGACTCTTCAGTAATTCGTAATTCTCTGCTAGTCTGCAAAACAAAAAGAAAGAAATCAGTTTAAATTCTCCTACATGATGTAAATTTATTTAATATCAATATAAGACTAGACACCAGAGTTACTGTTCTTACTTTTGGAGTTCGTGCATGGGGACATCGCCGTGGTGACTCCTATGGAGCTCCATCTGCTCCTTGAAGACAATGACAGTTTCCTTGAAGGCGTCCAGAGCCTGGTGCTTCAGCTGGAGCTCTTGGTTCAGTTTGGAGTGAGTCTCGTACAGACGGTCGTACTCCTCCATCTTTGTCTGGTGCTCATTGTGGACTTGTTTTAATTTCTCCAGTTGCTCTGTTTTGTCCACCAGAGAGGGCCCATCCTACAACAGAATCACAGACACTTAGCTTTCTTCTAAATCATCTGCTTACAATACCAGACTCATGACACTTTAAATTGTTACAGTATACGATACCAGTATCTTGAAACTCTTATCCCCCTCCCAAACACATACACATACTGAATTATTCATTTTAAAAGTTTTTTCCCCCCACATCTTCAGTGCATACAATAACATTTTGCTGTTTGCTCATTGTGTGAATCAGAAACCATAGTAAAATTTGCTCCAAATTGCTTTAATCATGGAATGATGCTCATATCTACAGTTCTCAAATCCACATCTATTTTAGACTCTGATTGTTTTAACCTTTGAGAACCAACAGGACTATTTTTCATCTCCGGAGACCTTGGAAAACCAACAGGTCTA